ATAAAGTTATTATTTTTCGTGAATTTTTATTCCAGAATGAGGGTTTGTGGAGATTGTAGTGATTTTAATGGTTGAATTCATGAGCTGATGTAAGCTAAACTTTCGTTGAAAACCTGGAGTAAGAAGCTGTGACCAGTGGAATCCAATCCGTGTTGGGTAGAGACAGGTATCTACCTTAGACAATAGATGAGTAGTTGCACAAGATCATATATCAATTGAGTTTAGACATTAATAGCGTTTTATAACGGCCCAGTGGTCTAGAGTTTAAGTGTTTGCGCGCGAGTTGGAAGTCTGCGGGTTCGAATATCGCATGCATGATCGTGGACGCGCACTGCTGAGGAGTCCAATACTAGAACGAAACGACCGTTCAGTGCTTCCAGGTTTTCAGTGGCGATCTTGCTTAATGTGATCAGTAATAATTGCTATTTCTAGCCAATTGTCATTATAATTCGTGTGTCACTTAATAGATTAAAAAGAATTTCTTAAAGTTTACCTATAGATTTTTCTTTTTTGGTGGTTACAGGGATTTAGAAAAGACCGACATCAATACTTTTTCACACACACATTGTTTTAAATTTGTCAAGTATATGGACAATGTAAATGTGTTTGGAAAGACTATGGTCACTCTAACTACATTCTCTTTATTCAGCGAATGTCCCATAATTGTTAATTATGTATAATAAAATGGTATTTTCTTAGCGTATACTATTCTGTTTGTATGAACTAATCATCGTTTCTTGTAGACAATATATGACTTGACATTAATTGTTAGTTAAAATGAAATAAACCATGAACAAACGAGAGATTACTTCATGATGATTACATAAATTCCAGTACTTTTTCGTATTCATATTTAAGACATTATGTTAATGAATAAAATGAAATACAGAATTATGTAATATTTAAATTAGCAGACCGAATAGTTTTCGGTTCCCTATGGAGGAAATTGGTAATAACGTTTGATTATTTCTGATAGTGTTCAGTTTTCTAAATTGAATGATATATTATGAATTCCTCATCGCCTTTTTTTCCTAAAAACACAATCAGAGAAGAAATAATACTGTATACGAAATGGCTACTCAATGAATTTTTCATTGCACAGTACTTGAAAAACAGTATTTACCAATAGAGATATATTTTAATTTTAAAACAGTGTAATACACGAGTCGAATTAAAGTTGTTGTCTTGTTTATTTGATTGAAACAGCTAACTTCACTCGAATTTATAAACAGTATATTGTATTTATGTAAACGCTTTGTTTTAGTTCTGTTATTGATTAATTTAACTACCCATGTCCTGATTAGTGTTTCTGTAAAATCAATGTGAAATTATCCTCTTACTGGTTATATTTACGATTGCGTAATATATATGTGTTGCCTATGTTCTTTGAAATGACTACTTATTTTCATTGTATTAAAGTAGAAGAATGTTTTTTTTATCAAAATAATATCACATGATAAACAATCAAATATCATTTATTTCAGTAAAACTATTTGATGAAAAAAAACACAACAACAGATGAACACAGGTGATTAAGCCATGTGTTTCTCTTAGAAAGGAAAACAACAACGAAATAAGCGGTTGTCGATTTTTTACAAATATACATTAGACATTTGTCTATATCTAAAATAGAAAAATATATACTGATCTTATGAAATATAAGAATGCAAATACATTAATCAATCTATAAAACAATATATGATCATTTAGTTATATACAACAACTGATAGAATAATAGAACAATAATGTTATTCATTTATTTCAGTTATTACTTTTAGGGATATAGTAACTTTATGAAATTTTTATTATATGTTCTACTTTTAAAAGATTTTTTGATACAATAAAAAGATATGTCATTTGAATTTTCGAAACTATTTGGTAGTATGTTGGCCTACAGATAGCATCATTGCAACTTCTTGTGTATGTGGAACATTTTCTTCTTGATGATTGGAGTATAACAGCAGCTCCCTTGAAGCTAGTCTTTGTTGTTCAATCTGCATACAATTTGTTTCACTGACTCCGACTACCTCCAAGTTGTATCTTTTCATTTCTACAGCAATTTGGATGACTCTTCAGGTCTCCCACATTGTACGAGCATTCCCTGTACGTAAATTAATGGTTGCTTTGATTGCCAGAAGGGTCATCAGCCTTGTGACTTCCGAAGGAACTCGGCTTTCATCATAAGGCGTCACAACTCTTCTAAATAAGACCTAACTTTCAGGGCAGAGTTTAAATGGCTTAAATTATTTTTTCCGGTTAGCTTTTTTTAGCAGTTTAGTTTTCTAAAAGATGAAGTCGCTGACCCCATGCCAATCCTTTCTCCTTTATCGGGGCTTGGGACCGGCAGTAGCCCCAGAGGGGCTTCAGGTGGAGTTCGCCCACGATCTATATTTAATTGTATAATTATGTTTTATAACAATGAAATGAAGTACATTAACACGGAAGGATAAGGTTAAAAATCAAAGATTTCTGTAACCACTGAAGCTCAGTTAAATTATCACCATGACAATTGTATAGTTCACTTTACTAGTATTTTTTTAAATTTGTAACATCTCTTCACTCCAAACAATATTATCCTGTGACTAGAATAACATAAACCTGAATAAATGTCGAACAGTCTGATAATTAATCTCTAGCTCTCTTATGCTAAATGCTAACAACACTTTCCCAATACTAATAAACTGAACAAAAATCTCAATGAATTAAAAATGAAAAGTAAATACATGTTTCTATTCGAAAAAAAAAACAATGTTGTATTCATTTACTCACTACCATTGTTTTTATTATTTAAAAAAAAGAACATCTTTTATTTATTACAAACCTTGATAACAGTTTTGTTTGGAACATTTCATCGCGTGACATCAGCTAATAGTGTCATTTACCGAAGATACATGTCATGGTAACATATGATGTTCACTATTTATATTTTACATTGGACAACGTTCATAAATTAATAGGATGAAACCGACATTGATATTTAAAAAAAAAAGAAAACAGCCTTAGTTTTATTTTGTATGTCTACAATTTTGTTTATAATGTCTAGAACAATAGAGAAACGGAAAATAAACAACCGTAATAACAATAATATTTTCAACAATAATTCTAGATAAATTACTTATATACGGTATTTAAACAACCTGATAAATTAAAACAGTAAAAGCTACAAGGTCTATTGAATAAAATGAATTCATCGATTTTTTTTCCAACATCTCATATACTGTAAACAACTTTAGTTAGTGTAATTGTGATAGGTATCCTAAGCGGAACTGAAAGTTTTAGTAAAAACAATAGGATATAAAACTATATTTTCTTCATTTTCATTACTCATAACTAACATCTTTTCTGCACGTTTAACTACGTATTAATCTTAATTATATTTAATATCTTTTGTGACCTATTCTCATTATAATAGTTTATTTCATTTTAAAACATTTACATTAATTGCACTGTTTCAATAAGGATTTAACACATATTATACCACATTACATCATTGATTTACCAAAACTTAATGTATTGTAAACAGTTCACAGAATCAAACTGAAATTACCTGAAGTTAATTATTATTCAATGTATATATGACAAGTTTTTATTGTAAAGATTATGTATTATTTAAAATGAAGACAATTGTTTGATTATCAGCTTATATCATTAACAGAATTATTGTGAAACAGAAATCAATAGATGATTATGTATTAGTTGAATTTAGAACTTCCCATAAATGTACATTATGTGATAGTAGTTTGTAATTGTAAATCAATCGTTAAACTATAAAAAATCCTATTAATAATTTTGAAGAACATAAATATATATTTTGTGTTATGTAGAGTAGTAAATGATAACTAAAGAGTGTTTAGTCAGAATGGACAGAAAGTGTTTTTCTTTATACAGATGATATCAATCTATGATGATAATAGTGTTTAAATGATTATCTGTCGACAAATCTAACAGAATATTGAAATTCTCTTCAGACTATTATAAATCTATCTTTAATTGATTTGTTCATGTTGCGTAAATTTTTTTTAAAGTAAAAGGTTACTTATTAATGTTTAGATTCTTTTCTAAAATTAATGATACTTCATAAAAAATAATTAGAACGTTTGCTCTTGACTACTCGTGAGTAGTGCATATTCCATTGTACAATAAATCTATTCTGATTTTTCAAATTTTTGCATTGGTTTACAATCTTTTAGTGATAAGATGAAATTTATCGATTTTAATTTCAAGTAATGTCTAACAGAGTATGTTGTGGTGAAACTGTGCTTCTATGAGCAGAATGATTATAAGTTAGGTTTAGTCGATAATCGAAGCATTTCATATTGTTCTAATAGTTGAGATCATGAGTCAATTGAAGCTAGACCACCATGGAAAACGTGGAAGCACTGGACGGTCATTTCGTCCTATTGTGAGACTTTTCAGCAGTGAGCATTCACGATCCCGCCCCCTCTCGCGAGATGCGAACACAGGACCCATCAGTCTCGTGCACGAGTGCCTAACCTCTAGATCACTGAGCCGGAACCTAACCGGCTTCAACTAATCCGATAAATTGAGCGACACATCCACCATTGTCATCAGTGACTTACTATCTAACAACAACATTGGGTGAAATTCACTGGTCACTACTGTAAAATGCTGTAAATCTAGATAATCTGATCCACATATAAATAGTTATTGATAAGACTTCATCATTAATTTAAACAATATCTACTAACTAATTCAATTAATTTAATGATAATATTGTATTTTATTTTATTATAATCGACAACTTCATTTAGTCTACCAAATATTAGACTGTGAGATCAGATGATAATCATCCACTCTCTTATTCTTTTTCCTTTATCCTTCATAAACTACAGATATACACACTTTTCTAATATAAACCATTGCTCAAAAGTCAATTTACAGAATTTCAATAATAATTATTACTTAGTAATTAAACAACTAATAATAAATAAATAATAATTAATTAAATTATTTTCTTTTTTCATTTTTTTTCTCAACAGATTTTCTATGTAGGTTGTACAGCTGATAAACATTCAATATCAAATTGCCCACAATTTTCTATGCAAAAATTTAATAATCAAATATTACAATATTCAAATGATAAAGTAAATCCATATCATAATAATAATAACAATAATAATAATAATAATCCAGGTAGATCAAGTTCATATGTTAATGATCTTTTCCCATTTGATTTATAAGAATTATTTTATATTAGTGACTAATGTTTATAGCTTTCCAATAAAATAATAAACTTGCTTTTGTTTATTTTTTTCTAAGCTACTGAAAACATTTATCATTTAAATTATTTTAGAAAAATGATCATTTAAATAGTTTCAGTATATTCAATATCATTATTAACACAAATGAACCAAATTACTGAAATTGATCAGGGATTTTTAATAATATAAAAGAAATGTTTATTATTAAGAGTACTGATAAAGTTTATTTGAAAGAAATTCAAAAATATTAGTTCATGTACTTATTTATGTCTGAGAATTATTTAAGCTCATTCTTTTGAATACATTTCGAAGGTATCTGTGACGTTTTACTTAAATAATAAACTAAATTTATAAAATTTAGTTCTGTAGTTATTGAAATCAATAACTTTATTCAAGGTTCTTTTGTAATTCAAATCAACGGTAAAATTTAACTTCATGGAAATAAGTTCAATGAAGAATTGTTTTTAAAAGGGAAGAATATTATTTGAATCACATGTAAAAAAAATTAGCGAAAAATAATTAGTTCACTTGGTGTTGTTTTACTTGTACCTTCCCATTGTTATTTAGGATTGCAGTTGATCAGTCTCATGTTGGCATATGTACATCCTATGCGGATTGACTCGATATAGCTCTGAGTCACAAGCTTTTTAATCAAAGACGGATAGTGGCTAGCAGTGGAATCTAGGAGGCACGTTTCATCCTATTTGGAACTCGTCAGCTGCATGCACCTGCATCCTACAGTTGATGTTCACTCTGGGACTCGAACTGAGTACTGTTCGCTTCACTGCTAACCATTACCCATTTTTGCTTAAAAAGCTTGTGACTTAAGGCTATATAGAGGCGATTCGCACAGGATGCACATATGCCAACACGAGACTGATCAATTGTAATCCTAAATGACAATGAGAAAATACAAGTAAGTCAACACCAAGTGAATTTAAACTTCACCCGATCGCACAAGCAGATGGCTATAAGGAAACAGTAGATAAGCGGATAATGCGATGACGTTTGAAGCGAAAGATACTGGGTTCGAGTCCCAGAGTGAACATCAACTATGGAATGCAGGTACATCCAGCTGACGAGTCCCAAATAAAACGAACCGCGCCTACTGGATTCCACTGCTAGCCGCTATCCATCTTTGCTTAGAAAGTGGTTATTTTGTCCTAGATCTTAACTCTTCAATACTACATACACAGATTACATGAACTAAAACATCAATCGTTGTCGGTAGTGAAATAGAAGGCGACAAATAAATTTTATATATCGTGGATTGGTTGAAATTAGACATTAACACTGTTGGATGCCTGTTCAATGGTCTAGTGGTTAAGCGCATGCGCGCGAAACTGATAGGTCCTGGATTCGTATGTCGTGAGGGGCGGGATCGTGGATGCGCACTGCTGAGGAGTACCACAATAGAACGAAACGGCCGTTTAGTGCTTCCATGTTTTCCACGGTTGTCTAGCTTCAATTGACTCATGATTTCAACCATTAAATTATATGAGAATCGTCATTTGTTGGAAACAAGTGATTAAAGAAGAAATCTTATTCATCAAAATTTCAGTTGGTGTCTTTTAGGCAGAATGTTTTACAAGAGAATAATGATAATCTACCCCTTGTCGTTTTTACGGTTTCGAGCATTTTTGACATCGAATAGTCATAAAATAGAACGCAGTTAGTACAGCCTAGTGTTTACTGTTTGCTTCATCACGTCAAATATCCAGTAATGGATAGTTTCAATGTATCGTTTTTGCATCAATGAATGTAGTAGTGACACCTTTTTACCTAGCCTTAATCATTCTGTTTACCAACTATCTCCTTCATCTTCATTTCTTTTCCTGTACACCAAAAGACAATCAATCAATGTTCAATGATTCTGATAATTTCTACCGAATTATACAACATGATCACATTGCCTATCGTTATGAGATTTTATCACTCCTCGGTAAAGGTAGCTTTGGACAAGTTGTCTCAGCTTATGATCATATGAAAGGATGTAAAGTTGCTTTGAAGATCATTCGAACGGAACCTCGTTTTACACGTCAGGTTAGTTTTGTTTTTCTGTTATTAAATTATCGAAATAAGTAATTAGTTTATCGTTGATGTAATTTTCACTGTCTCTTGATGTAAAAAAATTAAACAATACCAATGCAAGGTAACTCAACTGGCAAAATGTTCTAACATAGAATAATCTCCGCTGAGGTACTACTGAAAACCGAAAAACACCAGATGGCTATTTCGTCCTGTAATGGAACTCCTCAGTAGTGCACATTTACGGTCTGTTTTTACGTCACCTGCATATGAAGACGAATAAGCTATCCAGTGTTTGCTGATCTTCAGTAGCACCTTAACTGAAATCAGTCTGATAAATGAACCAATTTCGACACCTACTTTCAACTATATTTCTGTACAAAATAAATGATTAACGAGTTAAAGCATACATTGAAAGATAATTCATGATTCTAAAGTATTCGTCAAAAAATTTAAATGCAATCATTTGTCTCGAAATAAGCTATTTGACACCTTACAAAGTATACCTCCAATCTTCAAGAAAATGGTGCTTTATATGTGAAGCAGTTACATGTTATCTCAGTGATATGAACTTGTCATGTTGATCATGACACTAGAAAATCCTGTGTGAGTTTGCAGGTAAGCATCAACGAAGTCTTGCGTTGTTTTCATTGGTAACTCAAATCATATCATTTTCCAGCGGTAACGGTTATACAACGTCTGCAAATGTTTCTATCAAATATCCAACATTATCGTTATTCGTTTTGTTACACTGTGTTATGATATTATTGAACTGTCTTGTCACAACTTGTCAATATGGGCAGATTATTTTGTAGAATGTATACAAGTCTTACAATAATAACCAAGTCATGATGAGAATCTATTACGGAAAAAGGCGTAAGTAAACGTGATTCAGGTTATTAGACTTTTTTTGCCGTGCTGGAGTCATTCAACAATCCCTCTGCAAATTTTCTAGAGAACGTTTGGAGACTACTTCTTCTGATTATTAATCTCTGAAAGCCTTTAAGTAAAATATAGAATATATCTGATCATTTTTTCATCCTTAGTTGACAGCTATTGAAATTGCTATCAATTTAGCATGTTTTCTAAAAACTTTTAGACTATCAAAACACAAAATCTCACAAATCCTGACGTTTTCTCAAAGTTAAATTAATCTCCAAAATGAAGTTTCTATATTTCCAATGACCTATTTTTGAGAATACAATACTTCTGAGTACTAGGATAAGATTAACAAGTTTCTATCTACACATCCAAACATAAGACTTACAAAATAATCAAAAGTTAAACAACAGACAAGTTTAAAGTTGAAATTCAAAAAACAAACTACTAAACACAATTTGAAAATACATTGTACTCTTTCGTTTCGCTTGTTTACAAATGAGACAGAAATCAGTCATTTTATCATGGCTTAGCAACATAATTCTACACTTAAATTGAAAACTTCGTTTGTATTATATTATATGTTCATTTTATTTGCATAAAATTAAATTGATTACATTACTTTATTCACATACATACTGAAACATTATTGTATGATGAATAATCGTTAAATGAAGTTTTTTTTTCATTATTTTCATTCATTTCAAATTCTCAGAAAAAAAATAATAGATCGATTGCTTTGTTACTTAAATTTGTGTACTTTTTTTCAAAGTACTGTAATAGTGAGGTATTATGTGAAAGAATAATTTATTAAGATACTATTCACATTCTGGTGAACTACGATCGTAATGTCATTGATTTTAGTTTATAATTTGTGCTGTTTCTTCGTTGTTGATTAAAACAAATATATATATATATATATATCAATGGTTGGAATCGTGAGTCAATTGAAGCTAGACAAACACGAAAAACCTGGAAGCACTGGACGGCCGTTTTGTTCTAGTATGGGACTCCTCAGCAGTGCGCATCCACGATCCCGCCCCCCCCCGCGAGATTCGAACTCAGGACCTATCACTCTCGCGTGTGAGCGCTTAATCATTAGACCACTGGGCCCCCATCGAACGATGTTAATGTCTAACTTCAACCAATACACGAAATTGCGCTCCAGTTGACTCATGATTTCAACTATGAAAACTCTAAAGTCTCCACAAAACCCTTTCTGATTATACATATATTCTTAATCTAATGTTACAAAAATTTTTTATCAGTATAGTGTTCGTATTTGTAATTTATATAATGATTTTTGTAACGATGACCTATTTATATGAAACTTTTAAGTCAATATCTAGATTATTCGCTACTAAGTGCTTGATATGCATGGACAGTTAAAAGTATTGGGATTAATAGAAAGATTAAACGATTGTGATTTGTCAACAAATTACATTTAATGCTGATAATGATTAGACAAACGAAAATGGTCATGATGTGATGTTCAGGTTTATTTTTCTTCGTAAATTTTAAAAGGTAACTGCGTAGTTTCACTTGTCCATATTATTTTGATTTGAAATCGTGTTGAACGACAAACTCGGATAGGGACACATGTCATTGCCTTTTTGTCATGTCTGCCTACGCTCCCACCGACTGCAGCTCAGATAAAATGAAAGATGAATTTTACAGAAAGCTATCTGAACTTCTTCAGAAAGCTAAACGTTCATACATAGTACTCGTAGCAGGTGACTTTAATGTCCAGATAGGTAATTTAAACCAAACAGAAAGGCATTTAGGTGGATATTTTAGTATTCCGGCACAGCGAACAGTTAATGGTGATCGTCTGCTGCAACCGTGCTCAGACAATCGTTTATTTTTAGCAAACACAAATTTTAAGCATAAGGAGAGACATCGTCTAACATGGCGACCCGGTACACCAAACCAACGATGGACTCAAATAGACCATATTGCCATCAGTCATCGTTGGAGAGGGTCGGTAGAAGATTGTTGCTCATTCTGGAGTACCTGCTTGGACTTCGACCATGCCCTAATACGGGTACGCATCTGCTTGCGCCTCACTGGACGCAGAAAAGCCTCAGTAAAAAGACTCATTAGAACTTAATTGGGTAGCGAAAAAACCAAAAGTAGGTTCCAGGAACAACTGAGGTCTCTCCCTCTAAATGCAAGCTGCTGCTTCATGACTGGTCTGCGTCAACACCTGAACTAAGGATAGGGAGTGAAGTAGTCGAACGTGTTGACAACTTTACTTGGAAGTCTGATCAGCCCTAATGGGTTTGTGTCTGACGAAATCTCAGCACGGATCCGTAAAACTCGCTTGACTTTTGCCAACTTACGTCATCTATGGCGAAGGCGAGATATCCGTCTATCAATTAAGGGACGTGTATACTGCCCGTTCTGTTACTACGGCAGCGAAACATGGCCGTTAAGAGTAGAAGATACTCGTGAGCTACTAGTATTTGACCACAGATGCCTTAAAAATATTGCTGGCGTCTGTTGGGATCACCGGGTACGTAATAGTGAGGTTAGACGCAGGGTATTAGGAAATGATGGTAAATCAGTTGATGGGGTTGTAAATCTCCATCGACTGAGATGGTTGGGCCACGTGTTACGTATGCCTGAACACCGATTACCACGACGTGCAATGCTAACCAGTGTTCGGGATGGTTGGAAGAAAGTTAGGGGCGGCCAAACCAAAACGTGGCATCAGTGCTTGAAGTCACTAACTTCTAGTCTGAGCCATGTTGGTAGATGCAGACTACTTGGTTGGAGTCCGCATGACTATCGTGACATGGCTCAGAATCGATCACAATGGCGTCGGTGTATACACTCTCTGTCTTCCCTTAAACTAAGGGATAAAAATTGCTTCATATCTTTCTACGAACTAATTCTTTCTTCCTGTACTATATCCTTATTGCAATCTTTCTTTTATATATTACCACCTCTGAATTAACTACTTTTATGAATCCGGTGTCCATCTTGTTGTGTTACTGAGGTATGGCAACTTGAACCGATGCATATATGTGCTTGGTCCTACGTTGTACCTGACTGACTGACAGAAAACGTGACACTATCAGAAATGTGAATGCCAAATTTGATCAATTTTAACTGTAAACATACATTCTTTTCCACGAATTTGCTTCTATATATATATATATATATCACATTCAAACTACTAACTCTTCTAAATCTATCATGAGGAAATGTAAATTAATAATTTATCTAAAACACTACTTATAAGTAGCTGAACTACGCTTGTCATATATAATTTATGAATACAGTTTGCTTTCAATTTATTTCGTCTGATTGATGTTAATAAAGATTCGCATGAGAATTGGTATCCTAACTTCACAGTTTTTCCGTACCATTTATATCTTCTCAAACATAATAGTTTTACTTCCTGTCCTGTTCCTAGTTTAGTTATTATAGACGTTTAAAGATATTTTCATGTTAGGATCTTTTCCACTAAGTCAATGAAATTTGTAGTCAATAAGCCAAATACCATTCATTAACAATCTGTATAGAAAAAAAATCAATCAAGTGAGTTTACACCAGAGTAAAGTAATTGCTATTTTAAGAAATAATAATCACAACAATCGGTTGAAACCAAGTCATACATTTTTGTTTAATAATTGAGAGATATTGGTATTGTTTACTTGAATCTTCCCATTGATGTTTAGGACTGCAGTTGACCAGTTCCAGAGTGAACATCAGCTCTGAGATGCAGGTATATGCAGCTGACGAGTCGCAAATAAGACGAAACGCGTGTCCTGAATTCCACTGCTAGGCATTATTCATCTTTGCTTATAAATAAAATAATTTGATAGTGTGTAGGGTGTTGTATTTCTTTCACTAATTTTCAAATATCACTCATGCGTAAAATGTTATTTCTATTTCAAAATACAAATTTAAAGAAAAATACTGGATATTTTTCTCCATATAGTTGCCTATTTTTACTGATTTGTAAATTATGATTATGTTTTCAATCGTTTAAAGATCCCCATCATATTAAAAGACTAATATTTGAACGAAGAATATTCTTTTCGATAAATTCTCCTCAGGTTCTACAACTCATATAATCCAAAAAGTGGCCAGGTTAAGGGCAAAGTACATCGTTTAAAGCATGTGAATTTAGGATTGTTAAACAAAATACAATAAAATTGTTAATGTTAATATGACTCATAGAATGTAAACTTGAATCAGCTTATATGTGAAGTGAAATTTAAGATCCATGATCAGAATAAATAGGGGTTAGATAGGGTGAGAGAAATAATATTGCAATTACATTTTGGTCAAATGTTTAGTAGAAGGCTACATTGTGTGACAAATTAGTAAGACGTAATAAGGAGGGGTGAATGTGAAGTGAATAAATCATAGATAGGGGAGATTAATAATGTTTAACCATTAGTAATAACAATAATACAAAGATTTGTGGATTTATCGAAAAGAATATTCGTCGTTTAAATATTAGTCTTTTGATTATGTTTTTACTCAACTACAGTGCAAATAGTAACTATTTAATAACTGAATTTAAATTGATAGATTATGTGAGTTGAAATTGGAAATATTATTATCATTACAAAGAAGGCTACGTATAATGATGTACATATGACGAAGTATGTGATTGACGGTAACTGTTATTCAAAAAATAAAAAACAACAAATATTCGTCTTAAAGAATGGATTCTCATAATCATCAAAAACGTGTAACTTACTTGTTCGACCCTTTTTTTCGAATCTCGCGGAGGGCGGAATCGTGGATGCACACTGCTGAGGAGTCCAATACTAGGACGAAACAGCCGTCCAGTGCTTCCACGTTTTCCTTGGTGGTCTAGCTTCAAATGACTCATGATTTCAACTATTGAAATTACTGAAATCTTCACAAAACCCGTTCTGATAATGAATTTTTAAGTGTTAAGTAAAGCTGAATATACAAGTTTGGATCTCAATTATAACTGTGAATAAAATGATGATATTTTAGTTAAAACGCTCAATTATTCAATCGTATGTAGACACAATTAAATAAATGAAATTGGAACTAGATAAATATTTCAATGATCCCAACTGTCTATTTTTCATTATCAATGATTACGACTTCCAAAATATTTAAAAATTCTTATTATTTTCTTAATTCATTGTAATGCTTCCAGGTTTTCTTGGTAGTCTAGTTTTAGTTGACTCATGATTTCAACTATTGAAATTCCTAAAAATTTCCACAAAACCCATTCTGATAATAATAATCACCTGCTCACTAGTGACTGACTTCAAGAGGCATTTCCTGGAGTTCTGGTCAGAAGCCGTTACCAGTGGAGTTCAGACAGGTCTGTTGTGAGATATTAACTCACTGAAGACAACGGTGCACGGCTGCGCAACTTCGTGGATTGGTTGAAGTTAGACATTAACACCGCTTGATGGGGGCTCAGTGGTCTAATGGCTAAGCGCTCGTGCGCGAAACCGATAAGTCCTGAGTACGAATCTCGCGGTGGGGCGGGATCTTAGATGCTTACTGCTGAAGAGTCCCACAATAGGACGAAACGGCCGTCCAGTGCTTCCAGGTCTTCCATATTTGTCCAGTTTGAATTGACTCATGATTTCAACTGTTGAAATTTTTAAAAATCTTCACAAAACTCCTTCTCATTGTAATTAATTTAAATGACAATTTTCTTAAGTAATTCCATGAAACTATATTAAAAGTCATTTAATTTTTTTTCTTTTATTATTTCTTTCATATATATTCAATTGATCAAATAGGCACGTGAAGAGATACGTATATTGGAAACATTAAGAAATATGCGTGAATCTTCTGGTGGTGAATTAAATCGTTGTGATTTTCCAATTATTAATTTATATGAACATTTTACATTTCGTAAACATATTTGTATGACATTTGAATTATTAAATATTAATTTATATGATTTATTAAAATTAAATAAATTTACTGGTCTACCAAGAGATCGTGTAAGACGAATATCTTTTCAAGTATTAAAAGCTTTACAATTTATACAAAAAGCTGGAATTATACATTGTGATTTAAAACCAGAAAATATTCTACTTGTTTGGCCACAATTACCAGAAAATGATAATAACAGTAATAATATTAATCAACAGAATTCACATAATCAATATGGTGATAATTATTTTAAAAAATGTCAACAACATCAAAATCATTATAATGGTAATAATAATAATAATAATAGTAATAATAATAATAATAATAGTAATGATGGATATGATTCACTGAATAATTTACGTTCAATGTATCAACGTGTAACAGAACAAAAGGATTATGTGAAATTAATTGATTTTGGATCAAGTTGTTTTCAAAATGGTCAACCATATCCCTATATTCAGTCAAGATTTTATAGAGCACCAGAAATTCTACTTCGTTTAGGTTATAATGAAGCAATTGATACATGGAGTTTTGGATGTTTAGTGGCTGAACTAATAAATGGTAAGAAGTTTTTTCATTAATCCATTATTTATTTATTTACATAAATATACTCTTCTTTGTTAATAAATTTGGACGACAGTATCTCTAAGGTTTTTCAATAATTAATCACTGCTCTATCGTTCTACCTGAATCAATAATTGTAATTTACTGTTTGATCATCAATATGTTGTAGTTACCTTTAATTGTCTGCTGTGAATAGGATAGTATAACCTAGTCCGGGAAGGTGGATGTAAAACACAAACCTATTATAAATTACGGGTTAAAGTGAAATCTTTGGTAGATGTTATACCCAAATATGGAACATTTGATTAATAAATAAACAAATATTGACCAAAAATTTCATGTTTAACACACTTGGTGGAAACTGAAATCGTAATGAATATCCTTGAATACACACTACACTATCAATTTTATAAGATTGATAACACTGCATTCAATATAAATATATCAGCTCAACAGTAGGACGAAGTTTATTAAAATTACAATTACCCGACCAAATTAAAATATCATTCAACCAATAAGAAGTAACTTAATATATTATACAATAGTAAAGTAGTTTTTTGCAATTACTGCTGGTTAGCTTACACTACTATAAAATTTTAAAGTTTTCAAATATTGATGAGAGAATTCAGAAAGTTATGATGACAAGCAGTAACAAATGAAAATCAAGCAAATCAACGGTGAGGTAGATATGATCGATTTTTATGTATTTCTATGAAGTCAGACATCCAAGATTAACTGAAGTTATAAATGTGAATAACTAGATTGTAACTCAGTGTCGCAGATATAATGAAGTCTCTGAAAGTCTTGAGGTTGATCTTAAACAATGTTATGAATGCCCACAATTGAGACATCTAGAACTAGGGTGGAATTTCTGCTTACGTCGTTCACTAGACACTTTTAGTTGCCCAGCAAAATTCATCCAGTGATGAAAAAAGACTCATCATACGACTACACTACAAATCTAATCTTACTGAGTTTTTTTAACCGTCGCCTTTTCATGCTTCTAGTTTAAGACTACTGATCCCGATTGCATTAATTACGAAGAACTATGTCGTGCTAAATAATTAAGTGAACGACTAAATCTTCACAAAAAATAAAGTTATATATTTCATGGAAAGTCATAGTGTTTCAATAAACCTTATACCTAATTTACTTGTTTTAATTGTTTTTTTTAATTAATGGAAGAATCCCATTGTGTCATACAAGAAGAATTGAAAATGATCTGTTGGATAGTTTTTTACCGAGAAAGATGTTTCACCATATCATCGGCTTTGTTCAGTTTTACTAAGAAGATTTACGTGGTTTGGAAAAGAACTCGGCTACATGGGACAAATTCGTCCTGGTACAACATTAATGATCCTATTATACAATAAATGAAATAGCTAGTCAGCATCCGTATTTTAAATTCAGAGTACAACGAAATCAAATGTCTTTTTGGTTATATTGTTTTTTAAGCTCGTACTGAGAGGAAGTAAATATTGATAATCTTACTCAATGCTTCTAGGAAAGTCATAAATTTAAACCAATCAGCTCAGAGAACAAGACACAATCAAAAGTGTCCACTTCAGTAATAAATCTTTGTAACCATTCTAGAACTAATTGGCCGTTATTATTTGTTATTTCTTTCGGTATTGTAATAACGAATCCAAATTAGGAAATATTTCTATATAATTACCTGAAGTATACGGTTAGCTAACTTTTTGATTTCCGTTTTTCATCTGTTTGTGATTTTATTTCAGGTTTACCATTATTTCCTGGAGAGGATGAAACTGACCAAATGGCTTGTATTATGGAAGTATTAGGTCTACCACATCCAAATCTTTTACGTCATTCATCAGAACTAGATCGTTACTTCATTGAATTCAAATGTGATAAATTAAAACCATCTACATTGGAGTTTATGGACAAAAAAGGTGTACGATTAAGTAGAGATCTTGTGTATCTACCACGTTATTGTTCAGTACGTTATCCAGATGGTGATAATCCTCCACAATTGTTACCAGGTATTTCAAAACGAGGTGGACATGTTCGTGGTATACCAAGTAGTTTACCATTACTTCAAGCTATTACTCAATCAAGACTACGTCGTTATAAACGTAAAGATACACGTAGCGTATCCAATTTATCAACAGCAATAAATCCAACCAAAATGTCAGAGGAAGAAGAAATTTACTTAGATAAAGATAATGAATTAGTTGTAAATTTACTATCATCTTGTTTAACTTGGTTACCTGACGAACGAATTCAATCAAACAAAGCGATTATGCATCCATGGTTTAATCATTTCTATAATAATAAATCCACTATTGGGTTTCGTTCACAAGTACGTGTTAGGAGTATGGAAGTATCAAAACTTGCACCAAATAATAGTAAATTAGCTAATGAAATTAACGAACGTCATTTACTTCATGATCATCGCAATGGTCATGAATCACTGAATAAAGACTCATTGCATAAAATCAATGGGTTATATAATAGTGGAAGACAAAAAACATCACGAATAAATTTAATTAATAGTCATTTAGTTAATTTTGATATAACACATAATAATTCCATTGCAAATGATTCAGTGAGAAATAATCATGAAACTGATGTAGTGCCACGTATGGTTGATGCACAGAGTAGTCCGATTCAAGAGGAAGAATTGAAAAAAACTCGTCGTAACTCTCAAATTACCATAGTACAACAACAGCCATCATACTTGGTTACTGTTTCTAATTCACCAAATACATGTTCAAAAAATTTGTCACATTCAACTCAGCATACTGATAAACTGTCTTCTTCTTTTTCTGGAAATCGGCATGTTACATTCATTTATTCAAACAATGATAGTAGAACAATAACAACAGCCACTCCGATGACAACGACGACGGTTGCTACTACTGCTAATAGCAGTAATCAATGTGCTGACAACAGGTTAACCTTATCAGATGACAATCAGGAAGGTCGATTACTGTCTGTGAACTTATCATGTAATCACTTAAACAGTGATAATAACATTACTAAAATCAATAATAGTAATATTGATGGTGCATGTGATGATGTTACTATTAACAATACAACTAGCAGTAATATAATTCCTATGAATAAAAATATTTTGAACGATAGCACTATCAATAACAGTAGTAGTAGTAGTAGTAGTAGCAATAGCAGTAATAACAGCAATCCCAACACTAGTGCTCTTGACGTAATGCTTCAACATTCAGATTTAGTTACATCAGTTCGTCGGTCTTCACTTGTTGAGTCGTTGACGGAAATCAATAGTTTAAATGGAACCCAATCCGAAGTTATTGTAGAAAAACCACGTCCTCTAATTCATACCAAACCTGATGCAATATATCAAAGTAAAAAGATATTAGATCGTAATTCAACTAGTAATAATGATCGACCATTATCAGAATTCACTCACCATCATCATCACCAAAATAACCAACATCTGTTTACGGATTACGGTAAGACCAAAATTATCACAGAAAATGGAAGTGATAGCCCAACTTTTCTGATCACTGGCCATTGCTCTGACTCAACTCCTCATCTACCTAACCTTATGTCATTTAATATCAGTCACACTAATAATAATACAAATAGCACGAATGCAACAGTGTGTAAAATCACAAATTCACCAAATCGATATTCGTATTCCAATTTGCATCAAACAGTACCATTTGTATCTTCATTGACTATTGACAAACCATTAAACAATAGTATGAATAATATTGTAAGTATACAGAAAATGAAGCCTGCCACTGATGTGACCATGATAAATGCCTCAGACAAACGATATTCTGTCCCAACACGTTCAAAGTTGATTGATATACCACAAGCAGAATATGAAATACCGATTATTGATCATAATAATAGTAGTATTAATTACAATCATATCAATGACTACGCTAAGCAGGATATTCATTTTATTCCAGTTACATCATCACATGTGATAATTTCAACGGATTCAGGTGTTTTCCACAAATTAAATACAGCGTGTAATAATAGCACTAGTAATATAACAAGTAATGGTCTATATAGATATCCATCTAGCCATTACAGTCAACAACAATGTGATGTATATCACAATCATAAAAATAACTATCAATATCGTCAGCAACAACCGCCATCATCGCAGTCGGTTCAATTACAACATCAAGAACAGTTCAATCGCCAAACCTCCTGTTGGTTGGCTAACAACAATAACAACTTTTACAGTAATAACAATCGTAAAATTTTGAACCTTACAAGAAGTCATACAGATCCAAAAGAACATTCTCTTAACAGTCATTCGAATGGGATCAATTCAACTATTACAGGAATGAATAGTTGTAGCACTATAAATTCTACCATTACACTCCCAGAAATTGCCCCGAAACCGCCAGCTCGTACAAAATTAATTATTTCGAGCAGTAGTATTAATGATACTTCTAATAATACTGATTACAAAAATACAATAAGATGGCGTTCAGTTAAATCATTATCATCAGAAGACTATGGCTCTGCAAATCTATACGGCCCACAGCCTTACAGTCAACCAACTATTGAATCACACAAAATTATTGTACAAAGATTACCTCAGTTCAATTCGAATAATAATAATAATAATGGTCATGGTGGTTATACAGATCAAATTTCAACTCATTATACTCAATATGAAACTTGAAACAAGTAGTCTTAATACTTCGCCCTATACTTTTATGAATTAAAAGCATTCTCATATATATTTGCTGTTGTTTATCAGAGTTGTATAAACGAGTTTTCTTAAAGAAAATGAATGTATGTATGAGTGATTGTATAAGTACTTACTACTTTCTCAATTATACACATAAATAGATTGACCAAACAATGATTTTATTCTTATTTCAGAGTATACACTAGTTCCTCAATGTTCATATGTTTTTACATGTGTGTATCCATCACTATCACACACATGCACGTATACAAACTTTGATTTTTACTTAGATTCCATTTGTAATACCTTTTTTATGCAACACAACTAGTTGACAATAGAAATTGGTTGCGTTTTTTAAGTTAACAAGTAGTGATGACCCAATCCGGTTTTCTTCTCGCTCTCTCTCTATACACATACACACACTATAGGCTTAGTTATGTATGTGTACATGTGCAGTGCGTATGTGTGCATGCATGAAGTGTATTTCAATAGTGTACTCATAAATACTATTTCCCACAAGTTATGTGCCAGAAATATACATATATATATAATCCACCTTCACGAAATGCTTTAGTTGTCAACTTCCTTTTCGTTGTGTACACCTACTGACATTTTATGCATCAGGATTAATTAAGAAACATTATATGTAGACTAATTAACTGAGATTAATTTAAGAGACCAAAGTAAAGAAAATAAAAAAAGGAGAAAAACGGACAATAATGTCTTTCAATAATCTTTGTTTTTATATTTTAAATAAATTATTATTATTATTACTGTTATCTGATATGTAGTCTTAACTTTGTCTTTGTTTTGCGTCTCCCTTGACAACTAAATCTTCTAATTCATCAGGTTTCCTAACTCATACATAATCTTTATTATCTGCTTATTTTTTTTAACGAACTTAACTATACGCAAAACAGTGTCACTAATCAATAACCAACAGTGAAATGATCAATAAGTTTAACGAACCAATTAATTTCACTTACAATCAGACAATGTTCGTGTTATTTTTGTGATGTTTACTGATTATTATTATTATTATTATTATTATTATTATTATTATTATTATGTTTCATTTAATTTTACATTTCCAAAATATTTATGTCCCTATTTATCTATTCACCTACTGTTCAAATTCATGTTATTCTCTTTTCTATCAAGGTCAGCTGATGTTTATTTTATTTGTGTGAATTAATGTCGCTCATCAACTTTTCTTTTTGTTTGTTTTCTTATTATTCAATTTTATCAAAATAATAATTGGTAATTGATTTTGTTTTTTTACATTTTTTTCTCTTATTATTATTCTTTTTTCTAAAAATAAACAAACTTATTTATTAGAAAGATTTTCTTTTTGTCTTTATTTACAGATAATGAAATGAAATAATAATAATAATAATAATAATAATAATAATAATAATAAATTATGTAATTAATCTTTTTTTTAAAAATATTTTTGTCTGTGTTAAATATCACTTTAGTTATTTATCGAAATAAATACTCATTCAGTTGATATATAATTGAAAAATAATCTTGTTTTGTTTTATTTTTCTAAAGATTAATGTGAAAGTAGATATAATCTATTGATTGAACTTTTAATTGTTAAGTAGTAGATTGGGAATTTATTTTCATTTTCATTTACAATTATTTAATTAATTAACTAATATTAATCATTTAGAAATATAAAATTTTTGACATAAAAATTAAGTAGATCAACACTTAAGCTTATGACCCCTAATGGAGCATAGGATAAATGCTATCCTTTAAAATATTAGTTATTTCTATGAATTCATAATGATGAATAGAGATTATACACTTTGATACTCATAACTGTTCTATTCTTCTAGGATGGTGATTTCTATTTTAATTTTTTTTAAAATATTATCTAACTGTTTTTTGATTATTTGATTCATTCAATTGAATCAATTGACATATTTTACACTTTTCATAGGGTATTTTTGTTGAATAGATTCATTTTGAAGTTACCAACAAATATTAAAATGTTTATTTTTCTAAGAGTAATTGATTTTGAAGTTCCTAAGAATGAATTTCAATGTAGTATTGCATCGTTCTGTATTTCATCAATTATTGATACTTTAACAGATATTTTTTCCCTGAAGGTCAAAAATCGAAATTCAGAACTCACTGGGTTTTTTTTTCATTATCATATCGCCTAAATATTTGTCCTTTAATTCATTCACTTTTCATATCTTGTAAATGACTCCTTAAAGACACTCAGTCAAGTCATATAATATATAATAGATGGTTCTATACGATAACTGTTTGATATTAGTAAATTTGTTTTACGATTAGATAACCAGAATGTATTACATCAATATCCATACTTTGTTTCTTCACTAAACAAAACAACTTATGTATAACTATAAGCGAAAATAAGATTTTATATATAGTAATGATTTATTTATCTAATTTACAAGGATTACATTCAATATTCAATATTTGTTTAGAAATTATCTTTACATATGAATAAGTATAATATTAGTTAATCATGTTTTTACTGAATAATTGGGTTAACTAATTAATTAATCAACTTTATGATTAATAAGCGATAATTATGAAAATAATCCAACAATTTAGTGTCATATACATACATCATTTATGAAATAATCTTGAATGATGATATCACTCAATTATATATACTAATTATATTACTTATTATATTCATATTGATTGATTATAACTAACTAATTCAAATAGTAACTAAATAATAATATCAATATTAATCTTTCAATTATTTTCATATCAATTTGGAGAATTAAAATAATGCAAAATTAGTTGATAAGTGTCAAATAAATCAAATTGAATTATTACTTATACATTGTAAGCTTAAAAAAGAAACCAATGTACGTTGTCTCAATACATTCACTTCATTGTTATTTCAAATTACCGCTGATTTTGCGATGATAGATAACAGTTTGTTTGTTTTTTAAAAAAAAGGAATATTTCCTTTTATTTTGTAAATAAATTTGTGAATAATACTGTTGCTAAGATAAAGGTTTATATCTGTTTACCATTTGGAAGAAAGATAAACAGTATAATTTTTAGACAGGGACTAAATGTGGCCATCGAGAACAGATTCATAAATAAAGAGAAGTAACCAGACAATCCAATCTAGATTTATGAAACATGTACGTAGATGGCTTCAGAATCAATTAATACCAAACGCTCTAATAAGCACGAACAGCGGAAAACCTCATTCATTGATATCAAAGTATATAATTGAAAAAAGCACGGAATTGACATTAATACTGTTTTTAAAACGTTGTATAGAAATCGTTGAAGACGAATCCTTAAGCTTATAGAAGCCTAAAATATACGTAAATTTAGACCATCCTTCTGTGTACAAAAACAATTTGTCGTTACTGTTTAATGTACCCTGGTAATTTTTAAGTCATTTAACGGCGTAGAGTGATATGACCATTTCTTATTCTTTCCATATTATACGGAATTTTTTCTCCTTTATTCACGATTATAATTTTTCGTTTATTTGAACATTTATTTAATCGATATTTATTACTTTTTACAAATCAACGCCATAACAAATATACGTGTAACCAGATTACTGGAAATGTATGGTGCGAATACACCACATATTTTTCAAATAAAAGACGTCTCACTTTTCTATAGAAATTTCTAAAACGGATTAATTGCTTTGAATATAGAATCTGGAATTGACAACATAAATACACAGAGATCAATATCGTTTCCAATCTCTCTAACCATTCCCACTCGCCCCAACAATCAAAGAATAAAATATCCTTATATAACATCCGACTGATCAACAACAAATCATCAATGTTTTCTAAAATAAAATATTGCTGCAAATTAAATTTAATCATAGAACTGTTCATTATTCGAAAGGACTTTTATGTGAATCCTATAATATGATAGTTAACCTACAAATGCTTACGTATATATATTGAAACTTCTATATTAAATATAGTCGTGAAACGTTACATTATATGAGATTTTAATTATTCTATAGAGGGATAAATAGATGATGAGATCTGTTCTTTTCATAGAAATATTTATTCATATGCAACGTACAGAAGGTCGATAAACGTTAAATAATTATTCTGATAAATTAGAGAAACAAACAAATTCAGTGACATGTTTTTTTTCTTTTCATAATTTTCATTAACTTAAACAAATAAACAAGAAAGAAAATCACATTTTTGGTTAATAATTCATTTCTTTCGACCTTTAACGGGTTTCTTATTAGCTCCACCAGATGCCGCTTCACTTTCGGCTTGAATAGCTGAAGCTTTTTGTTTACCAAGAGGTGTTTTACGATACCATGTCTGTAAAAAGAACATTTAAAGCAATAATCTTGATGATCAACTTCAATAACCAGTGTTTTTTTGTTGAAAAATATGTAATTTTTGAATCTGTTAAATGATAAATTGTTATAACTTGTCAATTGAATGCTACTTGTTATATCTGGTCGTCGCTGATTGTTATGTCGGAAACGTTTATCATTTATACTCGAAACGAGAGACCTCTGCGATTTCCACGACGCGAAAGTAAGAACAGAAAGACTGGTATAAATGAAGATTTATTGACCCCAAAACACGACGACGACCCTAGTCGAAAATACACTCGTTGATATATCGGTTGTAGATTCGTTTCGATTAATAATTAAGATAAAATCACATATATGAAAAATACTAAGACTTATAACAAATCATATAATGGGCATAGATCATATCAATGGAATACAAGAATATCGCATATTATACAAAATAATATATCATATGTGAAAACAAAACCTAATACTACACTGAATAATCATCACATTGAATCAGAACAGAAGGAATGTTGAACAAAACTTATAGTGAGTAAATCAATTGAATTTTGACTTTTCTTCTCGTCATATCAAATAGAAATTTCAATAGTTGAAATCATGAGTCGATTGAAGCTAGACCACTATGGAAAACCTGGAAGTACTGGAAGGCTGTTTCGCCCTAGTATGGGACTCTTCGTCAGTGCGCATTCACGATCCCCCTCAAGAGAAATAGATCTGTCTAAATAATTAAAATAAATAATCTAAATAAAAAAGTTAACCAGATAATCTCAGTTGCTACAATCATCATTTCTATTGGCTAATTTAGTGACTAACTGAAATCGGATGAAAGTCTAGGTTACTTTAAAAATTAAATTGATAAGTCATAGTTTTATTATGATTTCAATAAACGAACTAAAATATGATAAGAAACGGTTAGTCAAGTTTTAATTTTCTCTAATTGATTCTTACAATCATTTTTAATTATGAATAAATTACATTGAAATGAAAATAAACAAACATGAAATATTCATTTAAATTTAATCTGTAAGTTTCAATATTTTATAAGATGAGGCATAAAAGAGAAATTTTTTCTACGTTTCACAAATTGATAAACATCATAATGTGATTATTGTATCCTTTTACAGTAAGTAGATAAAATAAGCATCATGTGAAATGAATACGGTTTCGTTTGTTGTTGTTTTTTTGTAAAAAAAACTATCTAAACCCCTTCTGATACTATTTCATTTGTTTGACAGTATTTATATACATTAATATACAAATAAAAGAATTTTCATCGAACCATTTGGTGTACACTTATGGTAACATTACTTGAATGTATACATCTTCAATCAGTTAAATGAGATTTATTTACTTAACATGAATTAATGTATTAGTTATGTATACTTAACTTCCACTTATGAAAATATTTAGGAGTCAGTATAACAATGAATGGATTATACATTAATTTAAAAATGGAATCAATATGTATAATATAGACAATTCAAACACTAATATTTCTTAAATAGAGCAAGAATAAAGATTGGTGCAGAATAATATGAATTCATTTTATTTCGTTAGGTTCTCATTAGCTGCTTACAACCGCAAATATTTGAAAATCAGAGATATTACATAAGAGGGTGATCAGGGATGAATATATGCACCATGATGTTAGCGAAGATTCCGATCGAGTTAATAAGGTCACAAAATTTTTTTGTTTAGAATAAATAAAGTTTGGGAGGGAAAGTTCCAGAACATGGAGTTAACAAACATTAGATGATTGTGTAATCAAGTAACTGAAGATAGATGGTAATCAAGAAAGATATAAATTGAAATCAATCATTTATGAATGATGTAATTTTAAACATCAGAAAGAGTTGGAATAACGAATGACGTAATAAATATGAAAAAAATGAAAAAGTGGGGTTTAACGTTATCAGGGCAAAGAAAGATTTATTACTGTCTCTTTTTGTATACATAGATCTGGTTTTAGACGTTTGATTGCTATCGTATTGCTAATGCTTCTTTTAAAGGATTTAAATATATTTTTTATAAGAATTTTCAAACTTGTTAACACTAAGGAACAAACAACTGAAATCATTTTTCATTTAAACTGTCTACCTAACTACATACTACTAATCATTTAAGCAAGATTTATAATTGTTCAGGTAATTGTGATTTTCATAAACAATTCAATAAAGCTTCTATTTACTTACAAGGGGTATATCGACAATTTTAGCATACGGTTACTTATACTTTCTCAAATTGGAATCTAAAAGGCTATAACAGATATATAAAGAAGCTACTCATGAAAATGATCTTCGGTTATTCAACATTCATAACTAAGCAAACAAGTTGATCGGTACTACTTGTCTGTAACGCCTGTTACTCCAAATTCAGCATAGGCCTTCGATCAGCATTCTCCAACCCACTCTGTCCTGGTTCTTCTTTTCTAGTTACATCAAATTGTTGTCCATTCTTCTCATGTCTGTCCCCGTTTCTCGGCGTAATACGTTCTTTGATCTTCCGCTCCTCTTTTGGCCTTGGCGACCTCAAGTGAGGGCTTGCCTTTGACGCAGTTGGGTGCTTTCTTCATTGTGTGTCTTATCCAGTTCCAGTGCTTCTTCCTGATTTCTTCCTCCAGTTGGATCTGGTTTGTTTCCTTCCACAGTAGGTTGTTGCTGATAGTGTCTGGCTAACGGATCCGAAGTATTTCGCGTAAACAACTATTAATGAACACTTGTATCCTCTGGATGATGGCTTTCGTAGTTCTCCAAGTTTCCGCTTCATACAGGCAGGGATATATGTTATTATAATAATAATTTTTGTTTAGAAACTTCACAAATTATTCGTAAAATTTACTGTTGCAGTAAGAACTACACATGGTCAAGTGATTTATTTTTGTTTAGTTCCTGTCATTGTAAAACCCATAAAATACCATTCATTTACTGATACCGTTGGCAGTTTCGGTAAGTCAGATTGATATATTTCCCGACAGTATTCTTTAATTGATCCTGCTTCAATAAGGCAAAACAGTTGATTGAATTGGATTAAAGCTACTTCAATTGCGTACAAGTTTTCCAATAGTCAGTCACCAATACATCAATAGTAATAATCACCATAACTCACCTTATATGCTTCTTCTTCATCAGCGAATACTGGATCAATTTGGGCCAATGGTGTAATAAATTCTTCAGCTTTTAAACATCTCCTACTTAGCTGAGCAATACGCCGTTCTGTAATAACTTGACTACATGCTTGAGCTATTTGACCAGATGTATAACCATCAGATATTTTTGTTAATGAAGTAATATCTAGTTCATCTGTTAGTATTCCTCCATGACGTATAATTTGTGTTCTCCAGATAACTAGAATTAGGTTGTATGAGATTGGACGATAAAAAATACTACAAATTGGTGAATCATGCTATTGATTTTAATTCCAAAACACTAGTCAAAATCAAGAATCACAGATTAATTATTTTGTTCTTACTTTCCTTAAACTTCTTGGTAGTATATAACTTCAACTGCTTTCAGTGGGTAGAATTGAAGACACTGAGGTTACTCGATGCGTATGACACTAACGGATCACTTTAACGATGTTAGTATCGACCACTGAGTAAATCTATTGAATAGAAAGCTACTGTGCATGACTTTGCTTTAGTTATGCATGGACTCCATGGATTGATAGTGTGTAAATACTTAATAATTAATCAAGGATAGCATTGAAATATGTGTATGATGAGAAAACAGAGTGAGTAATACTGTATTTAGGCATCAGGTTCTAGGTTAAAATGGTTAATTAGTTGCTAAAGCTATGAAATTTTATCAACTTACGTCAAGTCACTGAATGCAGAACTAAACCATGCATAGAGAAGAAAAGTTCTCAGTCAAGACTATTGAGATAATCTCAATTTATGAGTGTATATACAACATATAACCACTTACATTACATCAGATTTGTTTTGTTTTTTATCTTCCATTAATTCCTGATATAAATGATTACTGAAAAATTTTCATTTGTCCCTTTCAAACTATGTTACTTGTTTTCTAGATTTTCACTTTTATCTATATCATCATTTAAACTGGTAGCTTACAGATTGTAAACTGTTTCTTTATGCTATTCTAATGTGAGATTTGGGAACATGAACCAAGAAATATTTGTATCAATTTCTATACTGTCTATATTTTGTTGACTGAATTCAATTGTTTTAATATATTTTTTTAAAAAGTTTCATGCATATAAATCTAAATAAACTTACTATTTCTAGAAGCATAATCTGGTCTTGGTATTAAAATAATTTTTTGATATAATTTACAAAATGGTCGAATATCTGCTTCAAATGGTGCTGATGAACAACCAATAAGTAGAACACGATCATTCGGTGTTAAAATCTTCATTGCTTTAGGTAATTCTTTTTTTAATCTTTTAGGATCTGCCTGTATGATGGTAAAAAGTGAAATATTATATATAAATCAATGTAAAATTTTGTCATGGTTACACATAAATGCCCAAAAGCTAATGGAATCAATAATAAAGTAAATAGTTATAACTATAATCAACAAACTAACTGATTGACCAAGTGAACTGGTTAAAACTCTAATATACCATATGAAATATGAATTGACCAGCATCAACTTTTAGTAACTATGTGTTTTATTAGCAAGTTACCTGAACCAGATAAGATTGGTAGATATACTTTTAAATATTACGTTTCATTTTTCGAGTTGAATAGATTATACATTTCCCAGGAAATTTCATCTTGATCAAATTACGTTTTTAAATTATTCGCAAGCTCACCAGTCAAATAAAACTGGATGAGATTTTATTTCTCCCCAATTTCGGAATAATTCATCAAATTTATGCTATCAAGCAACTCATAGTATTCAGTGAAGCGCTTTACTAGTTTATTATGGTCAAAATTACCATGTCAATGACTGGAAATAATTACTGTAATGATGTAGAAGATCTTTAGCTTAATAGGATGCTTTTAACAATTTTTAGACCTCTGATATGAATGGTTCATTTGCACAGCCCAAATTGTCCTTCTGGACCATATCATCAGAAACTACTTCATATAAAAGCTTTGTGATTAAACAAACTATTTTAGAAAACAGCATCATGATCAAAAGTGAAATAAAACTCACTTTGAGACTATTCATTCAAGAGGTTTGGAGACTTTTGAAGAAGATAGAAATGAAATGTACAATTGTCAGTTTTAATCATTTCAAGTTACATAATATTTAGTGTCAAAGCCGTTAATTCATCTAACCAACTGGTTTCACTAGATAAACTCGAAGCTTTATATATGCATAGTGACTTCAAATCTACTTGTCAACAAGGATAATTTCTTATGGTGATCTCAAATTCTCTGTTTGAAATCATTTCCACTCTCAAATTCGACTACGTCACAAGAGGCCCAATAATTTCAACATAAATAATTCAACAAAAATTGTAGATTACTAAACCGAACTTATATATGCAGTAATAAGCCAACCCTTCCCAGCCTAGTAAATCATCAAAGAAAAATATTCACCGATCGCGTGTACCGTGCAAAGTTGACAACATTCATTAATTCCATGCAAATATAAGTTTAGTATTAGCAGTATAAAAATGGACAAAGTAAAATTCAAAAAGACTGCAGCCTAAAACAAAAAATGTCTAAATGCAATTAAAATAAATAAGCAGTAAATATAGCAGACCGTTTCGATTTATGGCCGGCAGATTTGTAGACAGGTTACTGATTATACTTTAATACCGGCTAAAATAATTCCAAGGTACTTTACTGTAATGCAGATAAAGTAAACTGTATACAAGTGTTAAACGTCGTATACTCCTTCTTTATATTTCATGAAACTCACCTATCTATCAAAAACCAAAGTCTTGTATTCGTTTAGTTGAAATCTGGCAGTATTTCACACCACATGGAGTATATTTTTGAGTAAATTAACTAAGAGTCTGAGGTATTTATTGGTATCAAATATTTGGTTGAACACCTTCTTTTGGCTTGTCTCGTTAAATTTTAATCAAAACTATTTTAACTACTTATAAGTAGCTACGATTGCACCTCAACGTTTACTTCTAACTTACCAAATCAGTTTTGGGAAGTTTCTTTTTAAACATTTTTTCACAATCGTTAATCAATATTACTGAAGGTTGAAGAAGTCGTCCAACTTTAAAAACTAGGTGTATCAACATTCTAAGACCATCTTTACCAGGATATTTATCTGCAATATTTTCTGCAGATAAATCAAACAGATTAGCTCCAGTTTCAGTGCATATAATATTGACCAACGTACGTTTACCAGTTCCATGTGGTCCAGCCAACAGAAGAGACTTTATCAACGGAGCTTTTTCATGAACATTTTGTGAGCCTTTAAAAAAAGGATTATTAAATAATAATAGTAAATGAATACTTTTATCCCATTTTAAAATAAAGTGACCAATTGAATCAACCATGTGAAGTAATTAGCTATCAAACGGGAAATTACTTCTGTTTTAGTATTAATTATCAAGAAGTATAAATACTCCTATCATGTGAATATAAATTTACAAGAAATCCCTCTAATTCGTAAGAAACAACTGTCTAAAGTCTAGTGACCCTTCTTGTATTGACCTGTTATATAAAACCAAAATTCCTTCGGAACTAACCATTAATACAATTAATTGTAAAGGTATTTCTTGTTAGAAAATAACCATTTATTCTTCTCACTAATTTATTGGAACTGTCACTGTTAATCTCCCACGAACAAGACCTAACCTTGGTGGATTATAGGTAACCATTATGAAAGACTCAAATGAGTAAATTACAATTATTATTCATCAGCGATTAGCGAGCCACTGAAAACAACAGAACACCTCACAATATTCTTTTGTATTAAACAATTTCCAAGAACGCTCTATCTCGATAAAATTGAAGGTTTGAAACTATGTATATATAACTCACCTAATGGTAGAATAGCATATTCTGTCACTAATCTACGTACATCACTTAACGTTGGTTGTGGTTCAACATTGGCTTGTCTTAACGTTGTACCTAAATAAGAATATTCCCCAGAATATTCATTCATTGAGTATTTTTCAACTTTTTTAATTATTCCAGCCAATACTAATTCTTCAAAAAGTGAGATCAATGTTCTTTGTGTGTAAATTATTTATTAATTAAGTCGAACACGATGGAGTTTGAACGGTGAAGTGTATAGAAATAGAAGAAGAAAATAAAAAATGATTTATAGCTAATAGTAATAAAATATGTTTGATGAACATTTATTTTAACTTGAGCTTATCTACTAATAAAATCACCTCACTTGATTATATAGAAAATCTCTCACGGTTAATATGCTAACCGAAAGCGATATATGTATGTAGTATACTTTGTCTGAGTTACATTTTTTTAATGATTTCTGATATATTTGAAAAAATTATGTCCATTATGATTTAAATACAAGAACTTCAAGGTAGAACACGATATGCATTGACAATTTAAACTGAACCACTAACAGGAATTCAGTGAAAATATTTCAAACAAATCTAGAATTTCACTGGTGTTATTTACAACGTTGTAAAGTTTGTATTGTTTTTTCTTCACAACATTATTAGTACAAAATTTGAAATTTCGTTTTTCGCTTTTTTTATTTATCCTATCTAGAAAAAACTACATAACTTCCAACATTAAATTATTCAATTTAAAGAAGACAGTACCAACAATATCCATTTTTAGAGCTATTAATTGTTTATTGCTCTTTTTTTGGTTTGGATTAACAATTATGAAATCATCAATGAATCTCAAACTTCTCACGATTGGTTATAACAGATGAATAATAACTGAACTAAAAAGGTTCAGAATATTTTGTGATAACTACAAATGTATTTAGATTTTGTCTTACCAATGTAATTTTGATATTCTGAATTGAACTATTCATTATTTAACAAAGTATTATCAAAAACCGTTTCACGCTGGGACATAATGTTTGCTGAGATAAATGGCATATAAAAATCCGACTCGATGAAAATAAATTACATTCAGGTATAACCATTTACTCGACTGTAAATATTTTGAGTTAATTATTGTGTAATGAAGTCTAATTAAGACTCATTTAAATCAAAGACAATCACAGAACAGACAAACCTTATTTCAATTATTTATTTACAGTGTTTTTACTACATTCAACAATCCTGTTACACTACTTTGTGATGAACGAGTATAACTTTGATAAGGTTTATTTGAGATTAAAATTCAGTTACTCAGATATAACTGTCATGTATATCTAGTCTTTTAATAAGAATCAAATTTAATTGATCATGTTGTAATGTGGCCACTAGTTTAATCGATCTGATATGGTGTTCAGTCTTTTAAAGTGTCGGATGCTTGGAACCGTTTGACAGGCGCAGGATTTCCGATCGATATTGATCAACACTTGATTTCAGTCATTCACCATTAAATATTCGTATCAATAACTTACAATTTGTTACTTGTGAACATATCATTATAATACTGAATATGAAACCGAACACTTTATGAACCAAAACGTTTCTTCACTATGTCAGTCTGTCCTACCTGTCAGGTGTAAGATCTTTCTCCTTTTTTCTTCTGCCTTTTTTACCTTTCTTGCCTTTCTTTGCACGACTTTTCTTCTTTCGTTGAACACGTTCTTTATCAATCGCAATTTTTAAATTTCTTAACTCTTCACGAAGTAATTCATCAACCTGTTTATAGATGTATGGAAAATTATGTATCAAAAACTAATAAGTACCATATATCAATCAATAGAGCTTCATGTTTGTGTTTATGAGACATTTAATATTTTACAGAGAACGAAGTACAACGACATTGTAAATCAAGTGAACTAATCTTGTGAAAACATTTATAATTTTTTAAAGTAATTTTCATAATAGATTATCTATCATTAAATGAGAAACCATCAAAAATCAAGGAACACTGGTTAGCTAAATTAGCTCAGTTATTATCCCCTCACTATTGTCTGTGTCCACTGAATTCAACTTCTAATTTATAAGTTATATGTAAGAACCACATATTCACATATCAGTATGTTGTAATCCATTGATTCATATTAGCTAATGATAGACAATTTAATCGTCGTACAATATCATCTAACCAGTTGATTGTACAAGTCTTAGCTTCTTATTGAAAACAACAAAAAGCTAGTCATTAATGACCATATGATCATTATCGAATGAAATAACTTTTAATGTTTATTTAATTTGTTAATGTTACTGGTACTTATAGAATGTGAGAAACACCACCATTTTCTTAAAACTAAAGAATAATAAAAACTGGAATGCTTCCGTTTGAATTAAAGATTTTTTCTGTCACTCTAGATAACCTTTTGAACCTATTTACCATGGCTAAAATTATCATAACAGTAGAGCTGATATGTATAAATGTTACCACACAAACACGACCGAATAACGTTAATGATGAAGATCAAAAGTTTACCTCTAAGCTTTGCCTGTAAGCGATAACACTGATGAAACTAAACTTCAAAATTTATACAAATATTCATCAATATTAGAACAAATAGTTTGAGAGAAATCGGGCGCTGAGTTTAGAGAAAATATTAAATGTGATAATTATATTTGAAATGATCTAATTTTGATTTTAATCATTACCCTGAAGAAGTCGAAACGAGCTTGCTCGACAAAACGTCATCGCCGAGACTAATTCAAATACAATTTTCATATATAAACTTCGAAATATTTTATCAAATCTGAAAAAGATTCACATAATTATACAGGTCTTCAAATAGGAAGGTTATACTACATGTTTTGAAGTCAAATACATTGAGTATACATGTCTTTGGCTACCAGCTGAACATCCAAAAGTAATTGAGAAAAATGCTCAACATATAGGCAAAAAAATTATTTGATAATGGTCATCTTTATCAACTAAGATCAGTCTGATTGTTAAAACTCTCGGTTTTACTTTGTCTATTGTCATAACAGTTGGGTTTCCACGTTTACATGTATGGGACGTTAATTTACCTTAGACGAATATCTACCCTAAATTTTCTCCCAGTGTCTATAATACAGGACTTCAACATAACTCATATCAAGAACAGGTGATTAGCCTGACCACAACGTAAATATATTTCCACACCAAAACCCGACACAATCCAACAACAATGAACAATCAATAATAAGTCCGTCCTAATAATAATAAGGATAAAGGAATATATAATTCTCAGTATAGGGGTTGTGGAGATTGTTAAGTTTTTGATTGAGATCATGAATGAATTGATGTTAGACCACTATTGGAAACTTGGAAGCACTGGACGGCCGTTTCGTCCTAGTATGGGACCCTTCAGCAGTGCGCATCCACGATCCCGCTCCCTGCGAGATTCTAACCCAGGACTTATCGGTCTCGCGCCAGGCGCTTAACCAACTAGACCACTGAGCCGGCATCCAATGGTGTTAGTGTCTAACATCTCAATCAAAAACTTAACAATCTCCACAACCCCTATACTGATAATTAACATGTGCTCACTAGTGACTAGCTTCGTGAGGGAATTCTCGGAGTTCTAGTGAGGAGCCGTGACCAGTGGAGCTAATCCGTGTCGGGTAGAGACAGGTATCTACCTCAGTACAATGGAAGTTGGTCGCGCAATTTCGTGGATTGGTTGATGTTAGACACTAACACCATTGGATGCCGGCTCAGTGGTCTAGTTGGTTAAGCGCCTGGCGCGAGACCGATAAGTCCTGGGTTAGAATCTCGCAGGGAGCGGGATCGTGGATGCGCACTGCTGAAGGGTCCCATACTAGGACGAAACGGCCGTCCAGTGCTTCCAAGTTTCCAACGGTGGTCTAATATCAATTGATTCATGATCTCAATCAATATATAATTGATCTGACACCTGTCAGACTGCCTATATGTCTGACTAAGCAGACAAACAATCATTATCATTCTCGCCCACACATCACTGATGTTAAATAAATATAATCAAATTATGAATAACTGTGACTAATTAGAATAAATATGCACACACTTTTTAAGGTTGAGTATAATGCGTATATGTTTCTGAAGAAAATCTCTTATATTCTTTTTAAAAATGATAGTTATTAGTAGTTGCTGTACTATATGCACTTCAGGACGATAGGAACCACCATATTGAACCACCGTAGTATTGTGTTGCAGATTAATTAAACGTTGATATTCACTTGCAATATCATTAAGAGTCAATTCAGGGTCTTGGTTCAATCGGTTAAGCAACCGTGTCCTGATGTCACTGAACTTTTGCGATTGCAGACTGCAGATGAAAATGAGAGCTTTGAACTGGTCTTCAGTCAGCAGCTTCAACCGGAGGCGTTCTCATTCGCGATTGACGATGCCCACATGCGTCAGAAAGTTAACGTCTTCGTTCATAGTCAGCTTCAAACATCGATAGCGCATGTTAAACAGTGAACTCTGAACTGCTGACTCAATGACTGGACGGTGTCCGAGAATGAGCGGCCACGTGGATTTAGAGGCAGAATTAAGTTACAGTATCTATCTAGTTCACTAGGACCCAACTTCCGAAGCAGAAAGTGGACCTTCCAAGAGTCATCTTGATTAGCAAAATCAAATTTGAATAAGTCTTCATAACACCGAAATCACATATCAAATTTGGCATTGGATTCAAGATCGTAATGAAACTCGGAGATACTGCTCGCGATGCCATCAACTGAAGGTACAGTAGTAGTAGAACTAGAGATGCTTGGTTGTGTGTTAGACGGAATTTTTGTATCTGCTAACATCTGGATAAGTTTCAGCTGTTGCTCAAGCAATAATTCCACTTCTGAGGGATCCATGTTTGTGCCAGCCTCGTCTCCAAATTTGCTTTGTTTGAAGAGATTACGAGTCCACTTAATCTGAGAACAGAACGAAGACTCTATGACAGTGACAGATAGCTAGCTATACCGACGCATCCAAGTCCAATCAACTAGAGAGAGAAGTTCAAATACGGAAGAGGGAAATATATTCCACAAGCAGCCAGAAGTACAACCCAAGCGTATATATACAGCATAAAAATGTCTTTGAGAAGCGTCACCAAATGACATACTAAAAGATACAACGAACCAACAGCGTTTGAGATCCTCCCAAGTGGAAAATATGACATGAAGGTGAAAATGAGCGCGTTTGGCGCGAAAACATGAAATTCATCATCTTCAGTGTTAACTTCTAATTGATAACATCAATAATTCAAGATATATATCATATAAGTTTGTTATAAATAAAAAACATCACTAGTCGTTTGAGTTATCATGGTCAAATCAATGATAAATTGATATAAATAGAACTTGATAATGATTTTTTTAGTATTTTATACTACGCCCGGTTCAGTGATTGTCTGTGCTTTAAACGCTTAGCTGTCTCAGTTTTATTGATGGAGAAGAATGAGACTACGTAGAAACATGTACCACTAAAAAGTCAAAAAATAATGTTTACAATTTAATAATATTTACAGATATATAATCATTATCAACATAGACTCTGACAAATATGTGTGTTGATTTAAGTTGCCAAACTTTATTAGTATGGCGATAAGAAGTCAACAAGATGAGTAGAGAAAAGATTAGCATAAACTGATTTAAAATTCAATATTCAAGCAGTATCCATCTCTAAGTGAACTTATTCATGCTTGATAATTTTGATTTTAATTCTTTCGTTAGAAAATAAAACTACAATCAGACTTCTAAGTGAAGTTTACACATCTAATTTCATTTCGAATGTTATTTATATATCAATGATAAATATTTATGAAATGATTCTATCAAATTACCTGAACTCGTATTTCTGTTTCAACTTCTAAACGTTTATCTTCTTTGATAATTTCCTCATCATAATGTTGTTGAAAATTGTCAGATTCATCACGATTTTTCCATAATGCTTATAGTGATTAGAAAGAACGTTTTCAGAAAAAAATAAATTCGAATTCATCCATGTGCTTGGAGTTATATACACAAACACATATGAACCAATCTAAACATTTAAAAGAATGTAAACTCCTTCTGATACTAATCAACATATGCTCACTAGTGAACGACTTCAAGAGGTATTTCCTGGAGTTCTATTGAGAAGCCGTGACTGATGAAGTTCAAACGGGTCTGTTGTGAGATAGTAACTCACTGATTACAATAGTGGAGGTGTCGCTCAATTTTGTGGATTGTTTGAAGTTAGAAATTAACACCGCTGAGTGTCGGCTTAGTGATCTGGAAGTTAAGCGCTCGCGCACGAGACCGATAGGTCTTGTATTCGAATCTCGCGAGGCGGGATCGTGGATGCTCACTGTTAGGGAATCCCGCAGTAGAACAAAACGGCCGTCCAGTGCTTTTAGGTTTTCCATGGCAGTCTAGCTTCAACTGATTCATTACATCAACTATTAAGAACGTAATTTATTGGAACTAGATAGAAAATAAAAGTGAAGATTGCTTCCGAGATGGTGGAGATTTGTAGCTCAGGTGGATGATTTTGATGGAGTTTTGCTCTCTGAGCTGGATGGTTTGGTCGTGGAGCTTTCATAGTTCTCCTGAACGATGCCATCAGCACAAGCTGCCGGTTGAAGTGAAGTGTTTAAATTACTCCACATGTGACTTACAGCTTTTTCCGATTTATCCAAGTTCAAACACTTCACTTCTACCTGAAGTTTGTGATGATGGTGTCGTTCAGAAAAACGATGAAATCTCCACAACCAAACCATCCAGCTCAGATTTCAAAACTCCTTCACAAGTAGATTGCTTTCCAATATGAAAATTTATCAACTGTCTCCAGATATTTTCACACTAATAAAAATCATAAGTAGGTAAATAAACGAAATACTCAAATATAAATGTTTTTTCGAAAAATTCTCACTAATGTTAAAATTTATAGTCAAATAGTGATGAGAATAGATTTAAAGACGATAACATAGTTGATGAGATTGTATTCTTGTATCATTTAAGTTATTTAAGCTGTTAATTTATTTTAACTTGTGAAATAACTGAAGTAAAGACAAATTCTAAAACAGGATAATAATAAGTTTAGCTTGTCAAGTACATGATATTGATTACTTGAGACACTAATGATCATTTTGTATTTTCTGGAAAGTTCTAATTAAGTCCGATATTTCGTCGGTGTAATGACAAATGTTTACACCATGGATTGGAGACAATTGACAATGATGGTATAGAAACGAATGATTATTAATTTCTTCTTCCTTTCAACTTTACAGATATATGTCGATATCCAGTCATTTCTGCTAAGAACTATGATCTATGATCATTGACATTTAGCTTTAACGTAAATTATTGGACTTATAAAGTTGAAAGGGTAGCTTCAATCCACTACATTTCCTAGCTTTATGTACATTATCGTCTAACTTATTGAAGAAAGAATGCTTTTTCTCCCCTTATTTATCCTCAAATGATAAATTTGTATTGAATTCTTACTAGTTAATAAGGTTATATGAAACGCCATATATGAAGATATGATATATAAGTTTGGAAAAGAAGAAACCTACCTTGATAACTATGACATCCTTCATGTATTTCACCAAGAAATGCGGATGGTGAGAATTTGAATCCTTCTGGTTCCTCCTACATGTTATTAAGAAAACATACATTTATTACTATTGAATCAAATATTATCAAAAAGAAAAACGATAATTAGGTAATAATCTAAGCCATTTTTCTATTTCATAAAATTACCTAGATTTAACATGTAATCTTGACGATTCAGCTTACTAAAAATAACTGGATGAATAATCGGGTTGTTATAATAAAGTGTCTGGTGATGGTGATTTGAGTCACTTTTCGGTCTGCTTTTGCTACAAATGTATTCATAATTTTACTAAGATTAGTAAACCTAATTATAACAATATAAACCTGTTGCCTAAACCACAGTTAACTAATTAGTTAGTGGTTCTTTGTTGTACATTGAAATTATGACGGTATGTTTTCGAAAGTTATTCCTAAAACTTTATTTTTGCAATCAGTTAGCTCAGACAAATTAGCAGAAATCGGCTGAGTTTCATTGAATAAATTTTTTTGACCCAATTACGAGAACGTTCTTAAACACAAAGTTGTTTACTTGAGGATGTAGCTGTGTTGGTTAAAACACTCGACTAATAACTAGCAGAGAACAAGTTCAAACTCTCTTCGTCCTGATCACGTTTTCATATTTGGATAGTTTCATTTGCTGACATACGAATACTATAGTTGTAAGCTAAGTATGTAAACCTGTACTCGATAGATTAGTCATACTAATTAAACGGATTATTTGACAGTTCTTCTATAAATATGTAACATTCTGGAAATATTTAGGACTGATATTCTGCGGATTTTTCATTTCCTTCATCTTGTCCAAAAACTAATAAGTGGCAAAAACATATCATTAGTAGAGATATATACTTTTACTAACGTCTTGAGTGGTACATTCCGTTTTTTCCAATGCCAAGATTAATTAAACCTTCAAAACCCCTTTCACATAGTAGATAAATAAGAAATTACGAATATTTTCAAATTTATGCTCAGAAGTTTCAGTGTTTCTTAGGTTTTATACTCCACAGCATAAAACCATCTTTATGCTTTAAAGTAATCAAACGATCTAAATGTATAACATCAGTTCGTAATAATTCTAAGAAGAAGTTGCTTGTTCTGAATAACCTTCATATATAATCATAAATAAATAATATATTTGTAATATCCCAATGAGTAGAAAAATTAGATTTTCTAATGTTTCGTGATTTAGTGCAAGCCACTTCTTTAGAGAATAAATAACCTAATCAAAATTAATCCAAGTTTAAATAATTTTGATTTGGTTATTTATTCTCTGAAAAAGTGGCTTACACTAAATCACGAAACATTAGAAAATTTAATTTTTCTACTCATTGGGATATTACAAATATATTTTATTTATTTATAACAACCTACCCAATGCTCAATTTATTTGAAATTATCAAGTGAAACCTTGGTAATGACACCTTCATACAAAATCACTCTCATAGAACCTGTTTAGTATAAACATCAAAATTGCCAAGTTGTTCAATGTAAGAAACCGATAGTAGTAATTAACACAATCAACATTTTCATTTCAGCATATCATGTCACTTGATAAATATTTAACTGCATCTAAATGATTTAATAATTATTTAACAGTAAATAATGTAAATCCACCCATAAAATTTAATTTTATCAAACATGATTGTAAACATACTTCGCCTTTTTTCTTTTTTTGTTTATCATTCTTTTTAGGTGGCGGTTTCTTTTTACTTTTTCCACTGTTTTTTCCTTTCGATTTTTGACTTGCTTCATCCTTTAAGATAAATAAATGTTATGGAACAGAATAATCTTTATGTAAATAAGGATTATTATTATTATATCAGGTAATTTTAATTTGTTTGAAAACTCATTCCCAATTAACAGTAGCTAATTTATCATTAAAATACAGAGAGGGAAAGACAAACACCTAGAGATGGTTGGTTACTTTTCCCTAGTTTTACATACCTCAAAGTTGCTAATCAATAATTTCAAATAGAATTTAAAACTATAAGTTAATATATCATAGTTTACAATGATAACTAGTTCATAAGTATAAATCAAACAGTACTATATTTAGACCTTATTTAATCCGGTGACCATTATCCTAAATCATCTGTGAATGTTCGCTTTACTCAAAACTTGATTAATTCTACTGATCATAACTTTTTGACAATTGTGTGATTATAGAGTAATGACCATGTGCCATCCGAATAAAATAGACAGAAAACTAATATGTTGCGCAATAAACTATGGAAAAATTGGGCACTCTCAAAAATTTATAAAAAGCACGATCATAAAATTAAACAAAATGAATTCCAAACAACGGCCTATCATCTACCGATGATAAACCCAACGATCTGTTAGTCTTGAAGTCAAGCAGAACAAATCAAAGAACTTTCAATACAAAAGAACTATAACTCATGTTTTTCATGTTCCCGACGATGACACTGGTAACAAAGTATGAATCAACTAGATTACCCACATCTTTTTTGCATCTTAAAATTCAACTACTGTAGAGCAATTTACACTGACGGATGTTCTAGGAATTTACTTTTTGTGTTCGTAAACATCTTCCAGCATGTTTAATTAAAGGTGTAGTGAAGACTGCCAACACGTCCACGTTAGCTCATTTATTTTAACATAACGCTTCATTATTAATAGTCTAACACGTTATGATCAATTTTCTAAAACCAGTCAGGCTTCGAATCATTTGCATATCAGCGACGATTCCAGAATGCATTAAAGAAACTCAAGCTTTGTTCTCGAAAGGAACAGGTATAGTATCTTTTCTTAACTTGGACAATCCAAAATCCCAATAGTCTTTTTAATTGTAAGATGACCTACTGCATATTTAGATATTCCATTCCTCTCTATATTCCCATAATCCAAGTATATCTAATTTAATTACTTTTGCTTATAAACTTTAACTTAATCCATGTAATTACATGCGTTACGTAATCCCTGATCATATATTGAAGTTATCAATCATATTATGACTTTACTCATGCTATTCTATCTATAATTCTCATATTCATGTTCAAACTGGTTGGTACTGATTTCAGAATTAACACACACCACCTTGAAATTTGTAAATTCAATTATTAAAGGTTCATTAGTCTTAAAATTGGTCATAAATCTCGATCGGTGATTTCGCTTTAAACATGTAGAACCTGATAAGAATTGATTTAAAAGAGTTTTTGTTATTCATTTTTATGTCTTTGTTTTAATCGAAGCGAGAATATTATTTCAAATGAATAAAATACACTTATTACCTTTTCTCTTAATTCTCTTTCTAATTCTTCCGGTGTTTTTTCCTTAAAAATTAATGCAGAACCTCCTTCATCTTCATCTGGATAGTCAGGAAATTTTCCAGTTGCATCTCTAGTAAATACAAGTGTTATATGTAACTTAGATAGAACTTAATAGTTTCAAAAAAGATACCAACTTTAGAATAGTCCATAATATTCCCCCAAAATGATACCTCTGAATTTAAGAAAGGTAGAACCTAGTCACTTTGCATATCACTACCTTCAAACAATGCTTGAATGTTTAAATGTATTAAGTAGTGCTAAATCCATTTACAAGTTTAATTCATTTTCATATTCCACTTGGCTTCATCATATGTGAGTAGTAACAGTAGAAAATATCGAAGAAGTAAATGATATGAAGTAAATTAACAACCAATAACATCATGTTTTTACCTTAACTAGAGTTACCTTCGAACAAAGTGTCTATATCTTAATTTTTATTCAAATTCGAGAATATTTAAAATCTTATCAAGTTCCATATCAAATTAAACTATTCACCCCTATTTTCACTTATTAAACTAACTTTATAACACTTTAGTTAAACAGCAACTTATTATCGTTTGTAAGAGAAATTCATATGGTTATCAAAACTACTTATCAGAAGATATTAAATATTAAGTTTCATTCTAAAATGATGTTTTCTATGACATGATCTGTTTCAAAATAATCGGAAATTAAATGAACATGTACGTCTAACTTTTTTCTTTATGTTATATCCCGACGAGAATTATGAATGGTAACTTTTGTGAACTATTTTTTGACCAATACGATACATATATTTTTATTGTATAATTGTTAAGTAACTAAACTATGTATATTCATGGTTCTTTTATTGTAAGTTTTATTTTAACTCATAGATTACTATTATATGATTTACCGTTCTTTAGTAATGTTCAGTCTATTAATTACTATCTCCCACATTCATAGCCATTTTTGGCTAAACCTTGTACAAATGTTATTTTCTATTTTATAGTGTGATGTGATCTGTTTGGTTTCTATATAAACCCAATATGTTTGGAATACATGATTCATATCATGGAGGCTGCGATTAGTGTTTCTGGACTTAACAGACAGGGCTAGATTGGAAGAAGGACCGATAAAGACTCTAGACTGCTTGTACCAGTTTTATGCATCATTCGTCCGGTTGATAAGTCACTACTCTCTAATTGTCATAATCATTACGTTACATGTTAATAGGGCATAAAGTTACAAGTTCTAACACTTCATAAAAAGATTTTCGACTGACCAAAAACTATCATAATAAATTCTATACTATTATCTTTTTTTTAGTTGTCATAAGTTTCCATTTCTATTTGATGCTTTTTAAAATCTAAGCAAGATAACATCATTCATGTATATTAATAAATTTTAAAAAAAAAATAAAGGGATTGATCAATGATTGTTTTGTTTTTGTTGTTGTTGTTGTGGTGGTGGTGGTGGTGGTGGTGGTGTTGATCACTTCAAATAATGACCATATTTATCTCCCGGTTTTTATTTTTTATCATTAAAACGTCCCTGATAATTTTATCTTTTAAAATTTTGTCCCAACTATAAATTATTTGTTTTTTTTCATACTTTTGATTGGTTATTATTCAAAATTTTATCATTGACATTTGAAAATGTAAATAGTTTATAATTTACTTATGTAGATTATTGAAAGATTTCAAACAGAGATAAAAATGACTTCTCAAGTCATTTTCAAACTTTTAATTTTTCTTTAGTCAACATTAGTAAATGATATAATTATATAAATATATGATCATTGGAGATTTTAATGATCTATTCAAATGGTAATATGAATTTATAGTTGTTTTGGAAACAATAAGAATTCACGGCGAGACTCTAATTTACGGACGAACCTTGAACGAACCCTAAATGACCTTGACAATTATTAGTCAGTCAACAGACAGTTAGTATAAAATAAAAATATATTATAAGAAAGTAACGAATTACAGTGGATATTCTTCTTTTACGTGATTTAAAAACTTGTTAAGGTTTGATAAAGGTTCAGATGTTTCAAAATCATAATGCATACGATATAGAAACTCTTCCATATGGCTCCATAATAGTCGTCCTCTATAGCCGTGGTACGGTATTAAAAATTCCTTCAATCTCGACCACATGGCTTCAGTGCTGTTGGTATGGACGCCAGTAGTAGGGTCGACAAAATGACGTGTGTGCACTACGACGTGATGGACATAGCCAAGTCTATGAAGGCATCTATAAGCTTTCCAATCATCCGTATATACCGTAGTGCCCGGCTGCGCGTATTTATGTACAATTGGTATTATTGTGGTTGCTTGCCGATTTCTGACCCTCTAAAAATTCCCTTCTTGCGTTGATCGATCATAAATTCCAAGTAACTGTCATGTATATTTACGGAAGTGCTACGTACCCAATCTTCCTTGATACTACGTCCCCTGTTGTATTTTCGCTTTCGCACTACTGTTTCATCTAGTTCCACAATACTTCCGACTCCTCCGAATGATTCGTGTAGACGTGTCATTTTAGGTGCACATATATCACGACAATACTCATAACACTAGACGACTGAAGTCTCAGTAACATCTGCAAACGCCGCAGCCAGTGTTACTGGTGTCTTTATTATCCAATTTGCAACTATTATCATGATTTGCCTCAGTTTCAGTCGCGATCGACCGAAGAAAGTTCCCGTTCGGGCAGACTTTTTCCTCCAACATAAAGAAAAACGAAATACAATCTCATCACGATAGTCTGCACACTTTACTGCAGTCATTTGATAAGCGCAGTCACAGGTACACGAACTTCTTAGCAGTCTCATCTCTTGTAGCCGCTCAATAATTACCTCTCCTCTAAAATCCGCTGAAAACCGATCATATGTGAGCATCAGGTGTTGAACTTGGCTCCATGACCTTGAAATTGCTCGAACGCTTCTGATTGCCTCGTCCATAAATTAGAGTCTCGCCGAATTCACTTAAAATAACCATCGTTTTCCTTTTGTTTATTCATTTATGTGCATCTATTTATATTTGTAATGGGTAATTCATAGGTCAATGGGTGACATGCATGTTCATCTTGGATTAACCAGATGTTATATTGTTTTGTTTGAATATTTTATACACAAACAATAGCTTTATTTCTTTAATATATTTCTTCTACTTGATTGAATAGCTTTCATGTTTTAAAATCTATCCTCTAAGATTTTTGAACTAACTTACATAAAGAAAAAAATATCAGTTCAGTAAATTCAGTTATCCTAGAATTGCATTGTTGTAATAAAAATGTAAACTTAAATTCGGACTAATAAAATTACAAATGTTCTAATAGTTTTCTTACAAGAATATTATCACATTTAGCGTTGTCTAGTATTGTATTAATTTATTGAAGAGAAACATATACCTTACTATGTATCATACTCAGTAGTATATATGCAGATGGACAGATAGATAGATAAACCAAGTCCTATAGTTTCATCATTTTATTGACTGCAGAATACGTAAATTCATATCCGATATAAAAGTGACTATCAATGTTTGACTTAATTCTGTGGTGAAATACTCAAATGAGAACAATCATATTAATATTGATAATAGTTAGAATTAGAATTTTCCCCAAACATAAAAGGACTTTGTGACTTAAGGCCGTCCGCACAGGATGCATATATGCCAATAAAAGATTGATAAATTGCAGTCCAAAACATAAAAATACCTTTTTATATAAAACCCATATAATATCGTCTGTCACTGATAATTATGAACAATCTCATATTCATGGGAAAAAGATTCTCCCTTTTAACTTACTGATTACAGGAAAGACACTATTTACAGAGGAGAAACCACACTACAGAGAACCAGATAGATCATATCTGCATCAATAAAAAATTCCGAAGGACGATGGAAGATGTGAGAACCAGGAGAGGAGCTGATATAGCTCAAGATCACCACCTAGTTGTGGCCCGTTTAAAACTGAAGCTAAAGAAGAACTGGAAAACTGGACAAATAGCACTACAAAGGTTCAATACAGCCTTCCTTCGAGATACTGACAAACTCAATGAATTCAAGATAGCTCTCAACAACAGGTTCCAAGCCTTACAGGATCTACTGAAGGAAGAAGAAACTACTATAGAGGGAAAGTAGAAAGGTATCAAAGAAGCATTAACTTCAACGTGTCAAGAGGTTCTCGGTCTAAAGAAATACCATCATAAGGAATGGATCTCTACAGAAACACTGGATAAGATCAAAGAAAGGAAGAACAAGAAGGCAGCAATAAACAACAGCCGAACACGAGCAGAGAAAGTCCAAACACAAGCTGAATACATAGAAGCAAACAAACAAGTGAAGAGGAGCATTAGAGCCGACAAGAAGAAATACGTGGAAGAACTAGCAACGACGGCGGAAAAAGCTGCTAGAGAAGGAAATATGAAACAGCTTCACGATACATCGAAGAAACTAGCAGGGAAATACAGTAAACCAGAGAGGCCGGTCAAAGACAAAGAAGGCAAGCCAATCACCGAAATTCAACAACAACGTAACAGATGGGTAGAATACTTCGAGGAACTCCTGAATAGGCCGGCTCCAATGAATCCACCGGACATCGAAGCAGCACACATAGATCTCCCTATAGATGTCAATCCACCAACTACGGAAGAAATTAGAATGGCCGTCAGACAAATCAAGAACGGGAAAGCAGCAGGACCCGACAACATACCAGCTGAAGCACTGAAATCAGACATCGAAACAACCACAAGCATGCTATACCTTCTATTCAAAAAGATTTGGGAGGAGGAACAAGTGCCGATGGACTGGAAAGAAGGACACCTCGTCAAGATTCCAAAGAAAGGAGATCTGAGCAAATGTGAAAACTACAGAGGCATAACACTACTGTCAATACCAGGGAAAGTCTTCAACAGATTGTTGCTGAACCGGATGAAAGATGCAGTAGACGCCCAACTTCGAGATCAACAAGCTGGATTCCGTAAGGATCGGTCGTGCACAGACCAAATTGCAACACTACGGATCATCGTCGAACAATCAGTTGAGTGGAACTCATCACTATACATCAACTTCATTGATTATGAAAAGGCATTCGACAGTGTAGACAGGAGGACGTTATGGAAACTTCTTCGACACTACGGAATTCCTGAGAAGATTGTCAATATTATCCGGAACTCATACGACGGACTACAGTGCAAAGTAGTGCATGGAGGACAGCTGACAGATGCATTCCAAGTAAGGACCGGAGTCAGACAAGGCTGTTTACTCTCTCCCTTCCTCTTTCTTCTGGTGGTCGACTGGATTATGAAGACCTCAACATCTGAAGGAAAACACGGAATACAATGGACAGCTCAGAATCAATTAGACGATTTGGACTTCGCAGATGACCTAGCCCTCCTATTCCATACACATGAACAAATCCAGATAAAGACAGCAAGTGTAGCAGTAGTCTCTGCATCAATAGGCCTCATCATACACAAAGGGAAAACCAAGGTCCTCAAATTCAAAGCGGAGAACAGCAATCCAATCACTCTTGATGGCGAAACTCTGGATAATGTAGAATCCTTTACACACCTAGGAAGCATAATCGATGAACAAATAGGCTCAGATGCAGACGTAAAGCCGAGAATTTGCAAAACAAGGGCCGCATTCCTACAATTGAAGAATATATGGAACTCAAAACAACTTTCAACCAATATCAAAGTCACAATCTTCAATACCAACGTCAAGGTAGTTCTACTGTACGTAGCTGAAACTTGGAGAACTACAACAACCATCATCAAGCACGTACAAGTATTTATAAATAGTTGTCTACGCAAGATACTCAACATCCATTGACCGGATACCATCAGCAACAGCCTTCTCTGGGAGAGAACAAACCAGCTTCCAGATGATGAAGAAATTAGGAAAAGACGATGGAAATGGATAGGACATACATTACACAAATCATCAAACTGCATCACGAGGCAAGCCCTAACTTGGAATCCTGAAGCGAAGCGAAAAAGAGGAAGGCCAAAGAACACATTGCGTCGGATAATAGAAGCAGATATGAAAAGGATGAATTACAACTGAAAGGAGGTAGAAAGGATTGCCCAGGACAGGGTTAGATGGAGAGTGCTGGTGAGCGGCCTATGTTCCTTCACGAGGAGTAACAGGCGTAAGTAAGTAAGTAAGTAACAGAGGAGAAGATTTAATATAAGCACAAATGCATTAAACTAAATAGCATTATGTGACAACCTGATCTTCATCTAGTTTATTTTATGAATTTTTATTTCATTATCATTTCATTTATTTTGATCCTCATACCTTAAAATAGCGTTTGAAGAAAGTTCATCTCGGAAGTAGACATTAAAGAGCAGATGAGTGAAATATGAATATTTATTAAAGACAAATAAATTAGAGAATAAATGAAAATCAAATTGCACTAAACTAATCAATTTAGTTCGAAGTACTAACCTGCACTCAATAAACCACTGCCGTATTTGATCTTGCATTGCTTCACGCATATCTGGACCTTCAGTATCTCGAATTTTCTCTTTTACCTGAACCAATGCTTGTTGATATTCTTGTTCATAGATATTTTGTGTTACTCTACGCACTGCATCCACACGATTAGCTAACTTAACCACACTAGATTTTTGTACAATGTGATGTAGATTTGTTGGTACCTTAAAAAATGTAGTGAAAACTAATGAGGATTTACTTAACTAGTATAGTAGCTAGTTTAAAAAAAATACAAGTCTGGATGAATCTGTCACAAAGATCAACAGTTAATTTTTTGGGAAAACATTTTCTTATCTAATGACGTAATAATCGATCAACTTTTCTGTTAACAAAAACTTTCTGGTGCCTTCAATGGTTGATTGATATTGCGTTCACATTTAAATCATTAATACATCCCGTAGGTTTTAATTAAACTTACTTTGTACCCATCAATTCGTACTTTTGAAGAACATCAAACTAGAATGAACCAGATGACTGATTGATTATTAGTTCTTTAGCTGATATAATTTTGTGAAATTTATATCAAGATTGAAATTAATTTTGAAAACAGTATTAACAAAGACCATGGCTGTTTGTTTTAATTAATTTAGATAAATTTTAATCTGAATAAAAGTGTAAACAGTATGAACTCTCATTTCAACAATCTATATCAGTACTAATGCTAGTTATCAACTAGATTATTCAAGTATAATTCATGACACTATCCCAAACTATTTTTTTAGTAAATTATGTAGAATATTATCATTACTGTAGCAAGACCAAAAACTTAAACACTGTATAATATAAGACTTGCTTCATGTATTAAATATTTCAATGAATACTTACCATACCAAGCCACATAAGTTCTTCTTTGCGCATAATCCCAACTTTCTTACGACACATAAATCCTCTCCATAACTACGTATAAACATTGAGAAAAAGGACATAAGAGTGGTAGTAATAGAATTATTTTCCATCTAGACGAGCAGTTACCCAAGCAGAAATTACATACAATTCATGGACCGCTATTCAATTACTCATAAGTAATATACTATGTTGATAAATAATCACAAAGTACCATGTCTATATAACTAGTTGATTTTTCTTTGGAAAAAAACCAGAAGTCATTCTAATTAAAAGAATTTACTCTATAGTACATCAATTTGCTTAATTTCTACTTTAAGTAAGCTTTATTCATCATGAGTAAAATCATTCCTCATTGTACAAGATATAAAATACGTAGCCATATTTTGTAATTTAATATCAATGTACAGATCATCTTGCCTATTCTTTTTCTCTTCTTGAACTCTAACTAGCTTAAATGAAGTAATACTTCCAGTAAGTCCAATGCATTTTACGATTATTTGTTTTCCTTTTAGACTAAGATATTTTGAAAATTATTGGAAATAGGAAACTAGTTCAGCGTAATAAGTTATTTGTTTTGGTGCATATTTAATATCCCTGTTGTGATTAGATTTAATTTATTTTTTTAATACATACAAAATTAATTATAGTAAATGACACCATGAATCCTTATCACTTTTTGATTTCGCCATTCATTCATCTCAATAATATGTTTTAAAACAATAATAGATCGTGTTATAAATCCATCAACTCTCCGTTTGTTCCGTCACAACAACAGTCTAAATACAATCTAATGAGAAAACTGTAGCCAAGTTTACAAAGGTTTAATTTTTAGATGAAATAAATAGTTGAATGAGAGTCTAGATTATTTCGAAACATGTTCGTGAATTTCAGTCCTATTTACAGGACGTTAATCAGATAAAGGAGTACGTCTGAGAAGAAAAAGAAGGCTGTCAAAACTTTTTACAAGGTATTTTGCATCAGATATTCGCTAACCGGACGTTTTTCATGCTGATTAGTATCACAAAAACACTAAAAGTAATCTGAATCAGGACATACAACTCCAGGTCTTCTGGTCATAGAATTTTTCTCTCTTCCTTACATCACTCATACTCAGAGACACGAACTTCACAACTGTTTCTAATGACCTATTATATAAGTACATATAGGCCAATTCCAATTTTTTGGAAATACTTTGCGTTTCGATAACACGAATCCCAATTTTACCTTAGTGTAATACAAGGTGGTCAGCGTTCCCAAAATTTAAAAATCACTATCCAAATAACAAGTCCACACTACTACGATCTTGTGACAGAAATATCTAAAATATCTTTAACGACGGAATACTGATATTAAGCAACCCTGACAAATCTCACTCCTGATTTGAGACTGTGAATAGTAATTCTTATACATCATTACTCTATGTAATGAAATTTACGAAGTTCCGATGAAATTTCCAGGCACATTCTTACCTAACAATTAGTTGTAGCGTCTATCAGTCTTATTCAGTGAATCAAAGAGACCAGATGACGAAAAATTTGACATGGAATACATACGACATTATTTAAACACCTGATGTCAAACAAAGATATGATAAATAAACCAGCAATCTGAGCAAAGCCTGACCTGCTTATATGTATTTTTTTCCACGCATTTTCAGCCACCTGTACTGAGTGATCAAAGCCAACATTTAGCTCACAACGAGTGACAGATTTATACTTAAAATCTTGGATCGTCTACTATGTGAGTCATTCGTAGTAATGGTTAAAGCACCTTTTTCATTGAAAATCGATGAAGTACTCAATTCATTACCTCATTTTAAACAATGAATAAAATGTCGTCTGCATTCTTAAGCCAAAATTGTATTTGGTTGCTTGAGTAGAGCGTCTTAAAGAGTTCAGGTACTCAAAACTCTTTCTGAACCTCTACTGTTAAACGGCTGTTTGCTGAAAACAATAGTGTTTTTCATCTGACTGTCGGTAACATTCTATGCATTTGGTAGAACCATAGGTTGACAGATGTAGGGCTTATGCTTCGGAGTCTAGTCAAGTGACATGAGTTAGCAAATGATTTTGTTTATATGCATCTGATAAGACTATGCTACATCGTATACATACCGAAACACTGACCATTAAGAACTATTTTGGCTTTTACATTAAAAATAGGTACATAAAGCATTAGGGTGGTGCAAAGCGTGATACGACAATAAGCTATTAAGTCGGTTACTGTCGATCTAGAACGAGGTCACAGTAGTGAATTCTGTGAGTTGGATTCTTAGAGTTCGCTAAGTCGGAGGTGATGGATTTTTATAGACATAACTGCGAATCATATGGACCAGTACATATCGACTCACCTAACATCTTTGACAAGTGCTTTACCTCAAAACGCTAGCTCTGTAAGCCAACAAAAAGATTATCATTTGCAATATGGTTGATAGAATTCAGATCGTCAAGTGGTGCACTTTTTATTACCATAGTACCTTATCTTACAGCTGAAAGTAGTTACTCTAGAGTGAAAACTCAGTTTCTTAAAGCACTCAATTGAATGATTTTAATATAGCTGATGGATATCTTCAGTTGTAAAACAGTTACAACACCATGTAAACTAATAGTCTTTCAACATGTAATGTGACCTATGAAGAATGATTTTTTGAAAGTCTTGTGGAATCAACAAACTTGAAATTTTGATAGACGACTAATGATTAAACTATTTGATAATCTGACCTTACCGCTCTGTTTAAAATAACCGATTTTTAATCAAATGCCTTCAGGTCTCCTCACTATTTCCTCAAGCTATATTAATTTATGCAAAAACACATTTTTCATTTATTTCCATGATTCAAAGAAGATAAATACTAACAAGACCAAAATCAGGTCACATGGTGTGTAGTAATGCCATTAATCTGGTGCAAATAAATGATGATACCTTTTGAATAATAATTGCAGCCTCATCAGTTGTATAAGACTTCCTCTCGCCACCTTTACTCTTTTCCGATTCTTCCAGCCGACGAATTTCTTTCATAAATCTGGCTCTTATCCTGCCTTGACGTGCGCGTTCATGTCTTTGAATGAGGAGTATAGCCTGATCAACTGACATCAATATCCTCTCATCCTGAAATATAGATTAAAAATAATATTGACTTAGCAGAAAACTTCCTCGTTTGGAGTTAAACTGTTAAGCGCTAAATTCATTCAGTTTATTTGTAGTAGTTTGTATTGAATTGCTTTTCATGGCAATAAAACGATTTCGTGATTTTTTAATCACAAAGTTCATCTGCACAAAAATGTGTTCACTGGATCAAACAAGCTTACGTGTATACTAAATTGACGACAATCAACAAAACACTTCTCAATAAGTCTGATCTAGCAAATAAATACAAGATTTATCAATTAGTTAATGGTAATTAATCGACTCTTTTTAGAATTCGGTTTATTCTGAATGATTAAAGAAATACAGCGCATTAATTCAGCTATCCCTTTCATAGCAAATATCAAACAAAATCTCCTAAAATGGATCATCAAGCGTTCTGAAAGTTGTGGCGTTACAAAAGCTCAGTTTTGAGCTGATTTTTCATTGCCCATGAAATATCAAGTTCATGTGCGTTGTTTATTCAGAAAATACAAATCACAAGTTGCAAATGTGAAGAAATTTATTAAGAGTTGTATTTGTGCAACTGTATGGCATACTTTAAAGTGGTCCAATCTTGCTAATTACTATGCTAAATTAAAAAAAAGTTATATACACTTTTTAATTTGTATCAAATTTACAAGCTGCTAACAAATGTTTCCATAACCCAGGGTTGAAATTTAAATGAAATACTCATTTATACGTCTTATAGACTATAAGGTGATAACACAAGGAAACTTCTATTGAAAAATTTACTTCAGAAAACTGTGAATTTTAGTTGCTAAGCTGCATTTTATACAGAGCCTAAATATATTGACAGAATGTACATCAATGTTTTGGCATGATCAGATCAGTATAACGTGAGCGCTGACGTTTTATAGAAATAAAAGTTCATTATTCGTAAAACGATTCATCAAAAATTACTCAAACCAAAAATTTGTCACAGAGATTTCGATAATGCGGAGCACATAATAGAAGCAGAATGTATGGTTAGGGGTGGGATGACTTTGGAGTACAGCACATTTCTTAGAGTATACGTTGTAATAGTCATTACCCTTGTGAATATGGAGTTATCTTTAATAGGTAGCGTACGAACGAACATGACTACACTAAGAATAAGGTGCAAATACAACGTATCACTCACTGATTTATGTGATGTGGCCGAAACGGGTTATTGTATTATATCAAAATGCGCAAATGATTTTTTGTAGTCTTATTAGTCGTATAACTCGGCACCTGAAGATATTTTCTCGTTGAGTGGACTAAGATTTTAGCCACGAAAACGGAAGAAATAGACCGTTTAGTCAAAAGTTATTCCAGTTCGCTTAGAGGGTTAGCATGGTCAATTATGTATTCAGTATTCAACAAGTCACTTTGAAAGTAGCTTCCCAAAACGATTAAATTGCAACAATAGACAAACAATTTAGAGACATACTACGTAATAATATGCGATTAGATCAGCTGTAGTTAGCAGCTTACTTCATGTCTATATAAATTGTCAAAATAGGAGAGTGACAATAAAAACCTACTTCATAAATAGAAAAACACTTATTTTTGAATTAGACAGCAGATATTTCAGTAAGTAAGCTGAAACAAATGAGTTTCTCCTGAGTCACATTGGTTTTTATCATTAGTTTTGGTCATTGACCTAATAACTCGATCACGTTTACTTCTATTTTAGTTATAATCCTGGTTGAACTACATGCCAATAATTTTTCTTCATGATTGTTGACTCACGCCTACGTTCCACCGCTAATATTTCAGTTTTGATAACAAATATTACAGAAAACTAATCATGGTACGTACTTGGCAACCAATATATACTGAGTTAAACATCACTTGACTAAATTTGAATGTACTTTAAGGATACAGTTTGGTTTGAGTTAACAAATGAGCTTGGTCTCCAGTTGGTTTGATTTCGTAAAGTTGATGAGACGTTATTTCTAATAACTGTGAAAAGTGTCTGGAAAGTGAATATGCTAAATTGACAAACGATTTGTGTTTAAAAAGAAACGCTTTATTTTTGGGAACATATCCAGAGCTAAGTTTCGTTGCAGTGGAAATAAACTGATGATTATACAACTCTAACGACTACATTTTTGACTTGTTATGCATAAAATAGGACGAGTGGTTAAAAAACATTTTGCTTGAATATTTTGTTTGAATAATTTTCCGTTTTTCATTAGGTTTCCCTTTTTGTTATTGCGCACTTTGTAATACGACTTCATCACGTAATGATCATAAGAGTCTCATCAAATCGAGTTGAGAAGATTCAGGACTAAAGCGTAACCAACAATATCATGGCCTATTATAATACTGTGACTGTAAGTGGGTCACTAGAGTCGAAAATCTTTCCGGTTGATAGATAAGAAATCAAGAGAGCGATGAATTACAGCAAATACATAGCAGCTAATAGGAAGTCATTTCAGGACATACTGTATAAACAAGTAGCAAATAAAATGCAATATGAATAACAATAAATAATAAGCATTCTCAATAGCTTCCAATTATTATTAACATGTGCAAGTAATGTATTTCCTGAAAACTGCTAACCAGTAGCAAGATGATTTTACTGTAATTATCATCTGATATTCAAAAATGGTTGAATATTACCTCGAAATCACTCCACTGGATGCCATGAATAGTATGTAATATTGAAGTTACAGATGTCAGAGTTATAGTTATACGTACCGCATAGGTCACGAATTGTATATTTCTATGCTTTAGATTACATAAAAGATTACATCGCAGAAGTTATGAAACCATTTCCCAGCAAATGGATTCTTCAACTGTATCACGGATTTTTTCGACAATTCAGGTGTTTGTGTAAACCACTGAGGAATTTTGTAAATGGAACTGCCATTACACAAGAGCAAGACGTAAGAAACTGCAACAAGTGGTGAAACCGGTGATGAACTCATAAGTAATCGTCAGAATGATTTAAAAGGTACTCTTGAAATAAGTTTCTTCGCTTACGCAAAAACCCCAAACAGTAACCTCTTGCCAAATATAAATTGCATATGGCGGATATAAATACCCAATTATAAAGAACTCCACCTACTTAATGTTTCAAATCAAAGCGATTTGTTAAGTCATAACGTAACTTTCATCCGGTTTTCCTCACACAAAATCTCCAACATCATTGAACAGAACAGAAAACCTTTAATGTTGGTAAGCGGAACAGTCAGAACGATAAGATAGTTAAGAATATTTCTCCTCTTATTCTATGCCTTGCAGAACCTAGGTAACTTAGCAAACATTAGTAACTGTACAGTATAACCTATTTATTAAGCATATAGTTAGATATCTTGATACCTTTGTTTCATCCGTTTTTGTGCTTGATATTAGATGATCCAAAAATTGCTGTCTATCTCTTAGCGCTCTAAAATTTTCATTTACAAAGTACTTTGGTATTGGTATTTCAACGTCACTCGGCGTTAATTTTAAATCTATTAGTATATCATCAAAATAATGATATTCAGAAAGTTCCAGTTTCACCATTTCCTTTTTTATCTCCAGAAACCTCCCAATTACTGAATCCAGGAGGGTTCTGAGAAGACGTCTTTTTTGAGGGTGGACAATCTGATCATAACATCGTTCCAAGCTTCGAAAAATTTGAATGTACTTGATATAAAACGTGGCTAGTGATTGAAAAGCTATGGCACGATCCTGAAAATCAGTTGGTATGCTTAAATATTGATACACAAACTTTTTCAGGCTTTTGAGTTTCTGGGTTCGGTTCGCGAGCTAAAATATCCGATAGTTTTTCTTGAGCATCTTTCCAGATATTGTTGTACAAACTGAATATTAAAAAGTTAATTTGCTTACGAGTTTGACATATTAATTTAATTCACAGTTGCCGACAGACGCGTTAAATCAAGATGTTAGTTGATTTCTTCAGAATGAAAATAGGTCGATAGTTTTGGACAATTTAAAGCGAGAACATTGGGCGTAAACGCTCATATAGACCCTGAATGACCATTTAAAATATAAATTTTCGAATGTGCTGAAAGAAAAAAAGTTTGAAAATTCACGGCAACGTAGCCATAGCAACGGTGACGTAAAACCAATATGATAACTTCAAGACGAAAGGCCGATCATATGACAGTTGATCACCTACTATGGTCTTTAAGTTCTTCAGTTTCAAGTATTTAGTTTATACTGCAGACGATAAGTTATAGTAACCCATCAGACAAAGTCTTGAGGAAAAATGTTTTGTGGTTATTTTTTAGAAATCTTTCTGTCATTTTGCGGAATTTCAGCGAAAAACACTAAAGCACTGAATTTGTTTCAAATACTGTACACAAATAATTTTTAATGCTAGCTACAGTGCTGTTTAACATCATTACTCTACACTTGTTCATAAGTAGATGCGTAGAAATTAATTTATCCGCAGACCATAATGTTCTCAGTTATTTGAAGCCGATAGGATAAACGTTGTTTTCAGATGTGTTATATAGTTTTATTTCCGTGGAAGGAGACTAACGTTAGTTTTCTGAACCATCTATAAGAAACGCCTGTAGAAGTAAATAAATCATCAAAATAAATAGTCCTTTAAGTCTTCGGCATCTGATGCTCACTGCATTAGTTTTCATGGACTCACCTAACTGAAGACACTGAATCACTCATCCACACCAGATCACGAGTGAGTTCGCTATGTTTCACATCTCGTACGACCGCTAGTCAGTTCAAACTGGTCACCTCGATATATCTATAGCCCAACAAATATATCTTCGAACCCCTTCGCTTCTGACTTTTGATATGAATAGGTGGGTATATTTCGATCACAAAACGTGTAACTGGACAACGCGTTTTCAAACTCTTAATAATTGTGGCAACTTTACGTTTTTTCTACTCATTTCGGATTCAGACATTTTACTTCTAGGGACTCAACCAGATTGTCGCAATTTTTCATGTTGCTCTGCGTTTGAATACAGGTTTACGAATTCATTGAAGAGTTCGTTGATGGCATCACTTTGTCCTGACTCCACAATTTCACCATGACATTCTTAACCCAGTCTGTTAAACGTTTTTAGGACCAAGGTTTTGAACGATTGTGTTTTGTGTATGGGATAGAAGTCCCAGTTCATTTGTGAAGTCCAAATCTTCTAGTTGATTCCGAGCTGACCATTGTGTTCCGTGCTTTCTTTCAGATGTCGAGATCCTCATAATTCAGTGGACCGACAGAAGAAAGAGGAAGGAGGGAAGTAAGCAGACTGGTCTGACACCGGTCCTTACTTAGAATGGATCTGTCAGCTGTCCTCTACTCACAACTTTGCAATGTAGTTCGCTGTATGAATCCTGGATGATGTTGACCATCTTCTTGTGTACACCATAGTGTCGAAGAAGTTTCTACAATTTTTTCCTATCCACACTGTCGAATGCTTTCTCGTAGTCAAGGAAGTTGATGTATGGTGACGAGTTCCATTCGCCTGATTGTTCGACGACGATCCACAGTGTAAAGATTTGGTCTACGAATTAGTGATCCTAACGGAATCCGGCCTGTTGATCCTGAAGTTGAGCGTCTACTGTGTTTTTCATGCGGCTCAGCAACAATCTGTGCAAAGCTTTTCCTGGTGCTAACAGTAGTTTGATTCCTCTTCAATTCTCACATTTACTCAAACCTCCCTTCCTTAGTACCTTGACGAGGTATCCTTCTTTCCAATCTTTCGGCACTTGTTCTTTCCCCTGAATCTTCCTGGATTGGGTGTGGAGCCTGTTTGCAGTCACTTCTGTGTCTGAGTTTATTGTTTCAGCTGTCATATTGTCAGGTCTTGCTGCTTTCGCACTTCTGATTTGTCTGATTTCCATCCTGACTTTTTCAATCGTTGAGGGACTGACATTTATGGGCAAGTTTTTGTGTGTCGCTGCGATATCTGGTGGGTTTAATGGAGCCAGTCTATTCAAGGGCTCGTCAAAATGTTCTACCCTTCTGACCCTCAGTGATATGCTTGCTTTTTATGTCCCGGACCGATCTCTCTGGTTCACCATATTTTTCTGCCAAATTCTTCGTCGTGTTATACAGTTATCTCATATTTTCTCTTCTTGCAGCTTTTTTCCGCTGTCATATTTTTGCTTGTCATCTCTGGTGCTCTTCTTTCTTCTTTCTCGTTTCATGTATTCAAGGTGTGCGTTGACTTTCTCTGTTCTGATTCAACTGTTCTTAATCGCTGTCTATGCGTTCTTCCTTTCTTGAATCCTGCACAGGTTTCTACTGGAGATCCATTCCTTATGATGATGCTTGTCGCGTCCCAGAACCTCTTGACACGTTGAAGTAAATGCTTCTTTGATCTCTTTCCAGTTGTCCTCCACAGTAGCTTGTTCTACTCTCCGTAGATCTCGTAAGGCTTGAAACCTGTTGGTGAGAGTTATCTTGAATTGATTGCGTTTGTCAGTGTGTCCAAAGATGGTTGTATTGAACCTTTTTAATGCTGTTTGTTTAGTTGTCCAGTGCTTTTTTAGCTTCAGCTTGATCTTGGTATTCATCAAGTGGTGATCCGAAGGTGCATCAGCTCCTCTCACGGTTCTGACGTCTTCCACGAACCTTCTGGGTTTTTTACGGATGTAAAAATGTTCTATTTGGTTGTGCATGCTTAAGTATACGCATGCAGCCGACCACAAGCACTTCATACACGGAATACCTGCTGTCATTTGGCCATACACGGCCGTTGGGATGAAAACGTGGTCGAGTTTGGAAGTCCATTTTTCCGTGGCCTGCTTCATGAGCATCATATCGCTTTCACTCAAATTACTACTAATTTATTAGGTATTTAATATACGTTTTACATATATTTCTAGAATGACTTTCGGCATTACCTGACTAAGCATGCAGCACTACCTCAGATTTTCCGCCACATACTGCAATTTCTCATTATTTCTCTAAAATCGAAGACATTTGGTTGATTAAGACTCTCATTTTACAGAATAATCATTTCACCGTGTTTTTTGAATGTACTTCTTCCATTCAACTTTTGAACTTGTTTGTTTATATCATTATTTTCGAACATTTTGCTTTCTTTTTATCCTTCGTTTGGTATTTGATAGTTCTGCTCCGAGAACCTACAGAATTGAAGACACTTTGGTCGACTATTTGTTAATTGAGGAAAAACTTTCATATCTGAATCGGAGCTTGATTCTGTCGGTAATTTGTGTTCGTAATTTGCAAATAAATCAATATATCGTACTTCCGTAACAGAAGAGAGCAAAAATGTGAACATAACAATATGAACGAACAAGTTTGGAGCCTAAATAAACGATCGAACTCTAAATCTTCAGTGACGCACCAAAGCAGACATTTTGATCAACAAACCTGGAAACGGACTGAAATTCTCATTCAATGTTTACCACGGGAAACTTATTTTAACACAAATAATCTTGACATTGTGTTTTGTAATTACACCAATTATTGGAAAAGTGGCTTATAATGCTATTGATGGCCAGAGTATTTTAAAAAATTTAAAAGAAAGCTGTAGAAATTAAAACGCCGTTATTTCGAGCACAATGACGTGTATGCACTTCAGAGTATACTTAAATTATTCGACGGAAATGCTTCATCTGAACGTAAGTATTTTTTTAATACAGAAAACAAAACCCTAGGTAGTAAAAGCCCAGAATTATCAATGCTTTGGCTTTTTAAATCCCGTGTGAAGTCAAATTCCCTTAGCATGAATAAATTCTTCCTAGTTAACGGAAGCATTGTTAACGACCCGAATACTATTTGCGAAAAATTCAGCAAACACTTCATCAATGCTGAAAAACTGGAACTGAAAACTCTATCGTTACATTCCCAATGCTGACATCCAGACATCTGTCGAAATCTGATTTTACACCCTCCAACATCAAGCGGGCCATAGCTGCCCTGAAAAAGTCTTACGATGGTGGACCTGAAGGGATACCTTCATCATTTGTGAAATATGGAAGTAGAGAGATTCCACTATTTTGTTTGAAACTTTTTAATCTATCTATGGAATATGGGACCTATCCATCTGTATGGAAAACATCCCTTATCACCCCTAGATTCAAAACAGGACCACGTAGCGATATTATTAACTATAGGCCAATTAATTTGACATCCGTGCTCTCAAGAATCATCGGCTAGTCTGATCAGCCCATCCCAACACGGGTTTATGACTAAACGCTCATGTTTCACATCGCACCTGGAGTTTTTTGATCAAATTACCCAGAAAAGGGATGTTGGTCAGTCAGCGATAATTCTTTACTTCGATTTTAGTAAGGCTTTCGAAAGTGTCTCACACAAACGTCTTCTTCTAAAACTCTTTTCATTTGGCATACAGAATCCTCTTTTATCTTGGCTCAAATCTCTTTTAGAAGAACGTGGCCAAATTGTTCGCTTTGGATCTTGCTACTCTAAACCTGTGAATGTAACCAGTGGGGTTATACAATGAAGTGTGGTTGGTTCATTACTCTTTCTCCTTTTTATCAATGACGTATGTTCTCTCTTTCAGTACGGTAAACCTTTCCTTTTTGCCGATGACCTGAAAGTAGTTTATTCATTCTCTTCTCCCACGAAAGAAAGCTATATTTCAGCGGTAATCCAAGAGAAAATAAACAAGTTGTACGAATGGACTATTTCGTGGAATATGCCACTTAATGTTGACAAAAGTGGATTTATCCACATTGGTCGCTGTCTTAACTTAAATCTGACTGTACAGACACATACACTCAAACCTCTCAACACTGTTCGTGACCTGGGTTTAAAATATAGCAATAGTCTGAACTTTTCTGTACACATTATATCTCAAGTATCCAAAGCTAGAAAGCTCATCGGATTGATAATGATAAACTTCAATAATATCGAATCGAGATTGTTACTATACAGGAAATGTATCTTACCCATTCTTGAATATGGTATTTTAGTTTACAGTAATTGTAGACATAATGACCTGATTAGAATTGAAGGTGTTCAAAGAAAGTTCACCAAAGCGGTTCTGGGGTATTCCGATAACAAAGACTATTACCAAAGATGTCAACTACTCAACTTAGAACCTCTGTGGATCAGACGTATCAA